GACTGTAGTTTGTATAAGCACACATCATCTGAGCAGCATCTAGGGCTGAAAAATGGATGGTTAAAAACCAAAGAAAGAAAGAAAACCCCAAAGCAAAACAAAACAAAACAAAACGGAGCTGTTCTTGCTGGAGCATTTCATTGATTTTTGGATTGCATTTGCAAACATTATGAATAGGCCTACATGTAGTTAAAATTAACCTAGTTGGCAAAAGTGCGTTGCATTTATTCCACCAAAAAAATCTAGTTTCGAATTGAGCGATGTATTCTGGACTTTTATTCTCGTGACTTTGATCATACTTTCAGACGTGGACTCAAATCGATTTTTTTCTAGTTGGGTTGTTTTTCAAGGACGTCATCGTGCTGGGGACACGGGGGGGGGTCGTGTTTTCTCACTACTGGATGCAGGCCAGTAAATAGGCCGAAAACTGCTTGCGCGAGCCAAATCACGTAAGTAGTACGCTCTCAAATTCTCTACGAAGTAGCGCATTTTGTGGCCCATGAACCTGAAGATTTGTGAAAAATACAGGTTAAGGTGGGCAAAGGTTTGCATCTGAGTGAGATTTGGAACTGAGAAATCGGTGCCTGAAAAGGGTATATTTTTTGAGAGGTGTAGGCCTATGCATTGATATTTCAAAATGGCACGGGCTTCACGACTGAATTTAGGGGGTGACCTTCCGCGGAAATGAATATCTTCAAAAGCCATCCTTTAATGAATGGAAATTTGAAAAGACAATGAAAAATCATAAACTGGGCTTTAATTTGATATACATCTCGAACCTCTGAGAAACTCGTGAGAATTTTTCCTGATGTTTTGAAGTTGGGGTTTTGATCACTGTTGGCTATGGCAGTTTACTTACTGGCCTGCGACCTACTGTTAATGTCAAAGGGCGACCTCTATTGAAATTCCCAAGTCGAATTAAAAAGCGGTAACTGGACTTCAATGACGACGATGTACATTTACAAAATGCAAAGACCTCCAGACTAAAACGAAGCGATATCAATACCGCAGTGCCGGGAAGTTCAACGTAAGCTTGTTTAAGGTCTCTTGGCCCACAGGATTCCTATTTCTTGTTGGCTTTACTGCTTGAACAATTTTACTTTAGTACCCAAGTTACGCCCCAACTATAGCATTAGTGACTAGTTGGGACCACAGACACTAGACTAGTCGACGTAGACCACAGAGCAAGGACAGAGAGACGGGCAGCTCCTGTGTGTAGAGATAGGTGTAGAAATCAGTGGTTCAAAACAACGGCGGGGTACTGTAGCCGAGACGGCACCCGACTAAATCCAAAAGCGTTAGCAAATTCACCTTTACGCACAGTTGAAAAATTCCAGCCATAAAATTTTATTAAGCCATTTTTCGATTGTGAAAAAAAATTCCTCTGTTTTTTTGGTTTTTTTTTTTGCCCATGCAGATTCGGAAAAGTATGGTTGCAACATTTGAACAGAAGAGATACAAAAGAGCAAAAACGGGAGTGTCTTTTTAGAGCATGTATATAACAACAAATTCATACATAAGATTCCCAGTGCGTCGCGCAATTTGCTCAGAACGTGCTGCCATCCATCGTTTTGCCCACTGCTTGCCCACGCTTTTTCAAATCACAGTTATACACGCAAGACTGGTGGTCTATGTGTTATATGTCTGTGGTTGGAACCGTCCCAACTATGTTCCAACTAGCATGCTGTAGTTGGGCCAACCCAACTACTGCACAGATGTCTGATGTGTATGTGCCTATCATGTGTCAAAGTTTTATTGTTTACAATGTCATGTCATAAATGAAGTGCCATATTTTAGATGAACTTTGTCAAGTGTGAGATTCCTAAACCTTGATAAGGTTGGGAACATGCCATAAAAATTGGTCAACAATAGTTGGGCTAGCCTAACTGCAGCACTACAGTTGGAACTGTAGTTGGGGCGTAACACCCCTAAAAAATCAGTTTGGAACAGCAAAATCCTTAAAAATAACTATCCAGTTGTGCTCAAAATGCTCAACACTACCTTGGTAGTTCAATAAACCTTTTCCATGTTCACAATGCATTATGGGTTAGGATGACAAGCAATGTATTTTAATTTTTATGCACGACCCTCTGGGGAAAGTGAACCAGTCAGAAATCAATTTACAGTTTTCTACTAATCAGAAATCAAATTACAGTTTTCTATTAAATCTTTTTTATGTATCTGCTCATCACCTCACAGCAGTGATGGAGTCGAGTCCATCAAATCCGAGTCCGGGCCAGGCTGAGTCCACAAGGGTGCAAGCCAAGTCCGAGTCCATTTTTGTCCGAGTCTGGCTCAAGTCTGAGTCCATATTGTCGAGTCCAAGCCGAGTCTGAATCCCAATATTTCCCTCCTGGGCCTAAATCCCAGACACACCAGAGATTTTGTTTGAATCGAAGAATATCAATGTCATTTGGCAACACAACATCGTATACACCACATTGCCACACTCGTGATTCATTCAAAAGTTTCTGTTTCAGCCCTGAAATCTGATGAGCAGGCTCAGTGCTTACATGAGTAATTATCCAAGAATTTGCAGTTGCATGGGATATCTGCCCCTCCGGGACACAAACAGACACTCTCTGGCGGGCAATACTCACTTTTGGAAAGCGTTTGAAATGAATCCGTGACCGTGAAGAACCACGTACATTCATGGGTCTGTGTCTAGATTTACAGGTCAATTTGGTCCCTTTTGAAAAATGTGATAATTGTTATCTTGGACATGACTTTATCGGTTATGCTCTGTTTTTGTCAGTTCGGTCATAAAGGCCTGGTTATTGGCTCTTTTTGGAAAAATTGAAAATTAAATGTTTGTGTACAATAGTTCCGAGTTGACTCGGACCAAGTTGATTATGGACTGAGTTGATTACAAACTGAGTTGATTATGGACTGAGTTGACTGGTGCCCTATGTCAAGACTGTACAGTACTTATTTTGAAGGATGCTTCCTTCGAAGGTGCCGCACAAAGTTGTTCCCAACTTCTCTGTGCACACCTTACCGCAAAATTTGCATTTTTCTTTTTGAAGGCTGGCTGCTTCTTGATGGCTTATAAAGCAAAAATGGATCATCTGTGACAGGGAACATGGTTTGATGAACTGACAGGGCAAGACGCGCTAGGCAAATGACTAAACGTGATGCATGCATGTACACAGCATGTAAGGTATACATGTACCTATGAACTTGTGTATAAAAAGATGGACAGGACACCAGTCAACTTTGCCTATTTCTTTTAATACGGTGTTTGACCTGTCCAGTGATTCCAACATGATGAACAAATTTTGTGTGTGCCAAATTTAATCCACACATTCTATATTACCGATTTAAAAAATGATTGTTATTTAAGTATTGACTGAATATGTATGAAGGAGTTTTATGGTGTCACTGTCACTCTGAAGTCACAAGTACATAAGAACAAGACTTACTGTAAGCAAGTCCATTCTTCATGGAAAAAACGTTTTCATGCTGCACTGCACAGGCAACTCTGTCAAATCAGTTGCATGGTTCTTACACATGCTTGCCATTGTCTCAGGCCCAAAAAGGATGGTTCATCATGAACCAAACAATTATGGGCAACAGATGTGGGACACTGTTTCCACTGAAATTTCTGAATTTTAAATACAGTTTTTGAATGGACTTGATTTGCATCCGATATGTAGTCTGAGTCAGCCACTAATCGAGTCCGAGCTAAGCCAAGTCCAAAATGACCTGAGTCCGAGCTGTCACGAGTCAAAAAAATTGGACTTGAATCCTCCATCACTGACTCACAGATGCAGATATTGTACAAGAAACATTTCAAAATAACAAATTTTCAAATGTTGGTAGAAGAAATCACCCTTAATTATCTTTTTTAAGGGCACCAGTCACTCTGCAGGTTGAAAATAGGCGTAACTGGTCAAAGTGGGATGAATGAGCTACAAGTCATGATTTTGATTGGACAGTACTAAAACATTAATATTAACGATCTTAGTCAAAGCATGGTCCTTGACAAAAACTGGTGTTGTTGGAAGGCATTCTCCAAAGTTTCCTTTCCTGCTAAGGTTTAAACGTTGAAGTTTGTGAATATCTTTATCCCAAATCAATAATGCAACACTGTGTCAGAAGGGGATGGCTTGAACTGGAGTATAAAATGTAATTGAAACAGATTAATGTTTTGCAGGTACACTTCTTCCATAGGGTTGTGCATAAAATGCATTGCTTGTTTGTCATTCAAACCCTGTGCGTGATGTCACGTTAGGGGGCATTTCTTTCTTCCTCTAGGATAGGCTTGAATAAACCTTTGGTACATTCATTGCCATTAAATCTAAATAACAAAACGTCTTTGGCGAGGGCGCTCCTGCTGGCCCTCTGTACATAATACAGGCAGGGAAAGCATGGGACAGTACAATGCACAGTACTCCAGCCCTAATGCTCAGCTCATGACATTACAAAATCGGTGAATTTTCCGATATCATGAGCCTAGATGGGTCAGTGCTAGTTGAGGTGTGGCAAACACAATGGGGGGTGCTATATTTCTTATTTGGGTGGATAAAATCTTTTGTGTTTACTCCATAGTTACACACTTCAAATAGCGCCCTCATTGTGCCCACCATACTTCACAAAGGCCAATTAGGGCTGGAGTTACTTAGGTTATATTGGGACCACCCTATGTAGACATTTTAGGTTAGTGTGTACGCTCATTGTGCACTGGTTCTAAGCCTAGTGGAGCATAAATACAAAGGTCATCGCATGCATATCAACCTCTGTCTCGCTTTACCCGTAGAACTACGAGGCTTGTCATTCACCTGTTCCATTCATGTTCAGAGAGCCAAAACGATGAGCCCTGTCATGTCTGTATTTCTAGGAGTACGTCCCTCTACTTAATATGTTTTTACATTGCACCATCATGTGGTGGCAGCAGTGGGATACAGTCGCGTACATCAAAATGCCTGTTGCCTCATGATGTACATGTATGTTTGCTTACATTTCAATGCCATGTTTTTCTCACTGTATTCGTATTCTAGGTGGGGCTGTTGGGAGCACTCTTTTGGAATGGCCAGGGTGAGCGTTGTTTATGTTGCAATAGTGTCTTTTTTTACGTAAGGGCAAAACTCACACAAATTAACATCTCCCTGACAGAAATATGTCTTTCAAGATACATTTTTTCAACTTTTGATACACAGTTTTTAAGCAGTTCTTTTTTTTGGAGGATGGTTTGTTATCAACCTTATTTTTGTGTGTAATAGTCAATGAGTTTTCACAGTCCTCTTCCAAGTTATATTTCATAACATGCAAGTAAATAATTGTGCACAAAAAACGTGCCTTTGATCTTTTTACTCTTTCACCCCAAAAGGTGTTTATGAATGGGAATAAGGGCATGATGGGTGGTTTTAAACCACTGTGTTTTAACAGTAGTTTTAACTAAAACTAGTTAAAGACTCAGTTGTTCCCCAGGCCCCCCCAGTCAATGTTAAACGTACTACTTTAAAGCCAACTCAACGTGCTTTTACTCTCTTATCCTTTTCTGTTTCCTCCCAGGCAAAAGTTGCTCCTCCAAGCTGGACTGTCAGCCAGAGGTGTCCTGCCATCTGGTGCCTTGGTCCTGCAACAGCAGCGATGACACCGAGAGCACCACCACGGCCAGTCCCACCACCAACCCCCTCAACACTAGGTGCTGTGTGCACCTGGGCACCTGTGGTGGGGAAGTCGAGGTATGGTGCTGCTTGGTCACCCAGTTCAGAGGTTCCACCCTGAATGAAGGTCGGGGGGGAGGGGGTTGGCATGAGTGTGTTTTTGAAACTTGGAAAATGGTGCGCTCAAGTCTGTAAATTTGTATGCGTCTGCACTGATATTGAATGCCAATTCAACATTATATTATTAAAATATTGGTGATTAAAAAAACGTATCTACTCCCCAGTTTCTCACCAGAGTGAACAGGATTGACTAGACACTAAGCGTTTTATTGACTTCATGCATCAGTGAATACCAAAATAAATCCAGAAATCAATGGTACGGACGCTAGGCCGTCATTTACTCTGAGCGTAATTACATGCATTTGACCATACTTTTTCCTACCCATAATCTTTCACAATTGAAAATACATGTAGCCCGACAAGATATTGTCACTTTGACTTATTAAAAAGATTTGTATCCAAAATGGCCAACCAAGTACTACCAAAGACTCCCCTTTGGCACAAAATGCTGTCGTACATGAAGGAAGCTATTGGTGGCACTGGTTGGCTGACTTTCCAGAGCATATGAAGGATGCTTCCTGTGCGTTCTGGTTTGGGTGTGCACACACTCTGAACAAGATGTTGCCTGATTTTCAACTGAATGTGCACAAAACCTGCGCTGTCCTTGTGTGAGAAGAGCACACCTGATGTAAAGATGCATGAAGGTAGTGCCACTCAGACTTCACTTCTCAGTAATGATTGCTCCCATTACTGGGCCATACATCCAAGTTGCTATATACATGCCTTGTGCCGTTCTTACAGCAACATTTTTAGGAATGTTCATGACATGTAGGTGATCCCAGGCATGGCACAGTAAACAGCACCTGTGTTCATTTAATCCCAGATTATTCTGCAGGACCTTGGACTGTCATATTTCAAATTATAATAGCCACAAAGTATCCAGAGGATTGGTTTGGGGACAGTAGATTGATGCATTTTTAGATGGTTTTTCTAAAAGGAACCTGCAGAGATTCAGTGAAATGCTCCATAATTCTGCTGGGGTTTGAGAATTCAGTTTTTTAGCCGATTTCAGCTTTTTTGTTTGGATGTTGACCCTGAATTTCAGCTTTTTTGTACACCTGGTGTGTTCAAAAGTATGGGAATTTTTTACATTTCAGCATCTTGCTAGCTGTTTTCAGCTGTTAAGTGGCCACTTACACCTCTGATTCTGGTTAAATTAAATCTTTCTGAACTGGTTTTTAACTTCAGAAAATATTATCTCCGGTCAGCCATTTTTGGTGGAGATCTCAAGGTTTATTTGAATGCTTTCCACAGGTGGCTGGTTGGGTCAATGTCCGCAACACCAGTATCGAGCTTGACGGGGTCTCATACTCGGCCGAATGGCTGGACACTTTCATCACCGAGGGTAACGCTACCCTACCCTCGGTCATCAAGGTATGCACTTTTGACCGTGCATGAAATAAAAATGTTCACCTATGGAAGTCTTCCAGATGGTGGCATATTTTTCCTAAGTGCATGTATCACAGAATTAAATGCCAATGTTGTGGCGATACAGTGCCTGTGGACAGATGGTACGTGCACGCACATCACATGCCTCTTTGACCAATAGGATGCTCTGAAGTGCCAATGCATGTGCACGTTAAGCTTTATAGGAATGTGTGTTGTTAATAGTACAATATATTGTCACCCCAGATTAGTCTGAAGCTAAGTTATTGGGACACAGCTATGTGCTGTGGGCCCATTGTACAATCCAGCTGAAAAAGAAGTCGAACTGGCAAGCATTGGCCACCTGAAAAGCTCCTTCCACAGTAGCTAAGTAACCTGCACTGTAGCTACCTAGTTGAGCTTTATTTTTGCACATGCATTCATAATTTATGGCCAATGGTTGTACGGTGCAAACAGCACGGTAGACTTTAGTTTGAGGCCAGAAACGGAAATGAGTCCTAGTCCTAGGCTCTTGTTTGATTGTATAAAGTCCTGAGTCAAATGGGTTGAGTCTCATTCTGAGTCTGAGTTATAGATCATTGAAGTGGAAAATTAGTTGCTCTGTAAACTGGAAAAGCCAACTCCAAGGCTGTGTTCAACATGGACAACAGCTCTTCTCCATAGCAGACCTATGGTAAAAACAAGCCATGGTGCCAAGCACCCCATTTGGACGAGGACTTGTAGTGAAAAAAAGGACACCACTCCATGTGCCCTTCCGAATGTTTCTCTCACATTTGTGTTCAGAGATGTTTCTCCTGATAAAATTTTATGAAAATAAAATGGAAGACCTTCCTGCCTCTCTCCCGAAATCAGACTGCCTACGTTGGGTCCTGGAGCACCCTGAAGCAGGCCGACCTGACTTTTCCCTCTCAGATGTTTGTGGCCGAGCCCACTAACAGCTGCACCGTGGATGGGGACCCCAAGTGGCCTGAATGGTACCACGTGACTGTCAACGTTGTTGACAAGGACAATCCAGATGACAGTAGGTGGACCGCTGGAGGTGTTATTTAGTGGAGTTTTTCCCCCTAAAAAATTACACTCAAAGTACAAGGTGGTATTGGAAACAGTGTTGTAGTTGAGACCACTTAAGACCTTCACAAGACCACACAAGACCAACACAAGCCCTCCAGTCTGAATTCAAGCCACAAGTTATTCAAATGAACTGCAACAGAAGCATTCCTTTGTCATTGTTCAACGCATTACTTGCGACCGGCTTGTGCATGGTCTTGCGCATGATCTTGTGTCTGGTCTTTTGATGGTCTCGACTACAAAACTGATGGGAAGTTGAAGGCGTCATCCATTTTCTGCATTTGAACTGACACAGTCAGGATGCTCGCCCTTCATTCCCCACGCATCACCTTACATTTTATCTAGTAGAGAAAAGATTTGACAGCAATGACGATAAACTGCTGGGGCAGGGGCTGGAGGGATTATTCTTTTGTGGTGGTCTGTTTTTCAGTTTTGTATGTTCTGTCCAGTAGAAATGAACAGGGTCGAAATTTGCATGGGAAGGTTATTAAGCCGAAAAAAAAAAATCCGACTTACCCATCGCCTGTAGATGATGTGTAGATTATGCAGTTATTTTCCAATCATTTTGAATCCTGAGTGTACTGTCAAGGGTGTATCATGAAGAGACTTGTGTGTCCCAACCTGACAAAAAGAAGGCGCTAGAGTCGATTTTCAGTTTAAGAATCTTGAGCATTGTCAGTCAGCAGGAACCCTCAACTTTGATCACCAACACAATGCCCATTTTCATGCCAAACGGAGAGATGTATCAAAGCAGAACTCAGTGTTGTCTTTCTAATCTGAAGTAAAACAAACTAACCAAAATGAAAAACAGGTTCAAGACTCATTTCACAGGTTCCATTCATATGCTTGCAGTGCATTATTGGAAGAGTTGACATGTGCATATTTGGGGGATGCACTAGATTCCTTTTTGATTCTAACTTTCTGTAAAGAATGTTACATTTAAGTGCAGAGCTTTTGCTCATATACTCTGTGGTGCAAGATGGAGAACTTTGCTGTGAATACGTGTAAAACTTTGTAATTGCCTGGGAGCCATTTGAGCAAGCAGTACCCCTGCGCAATGCACTTTAATGCACAGGTGAAGCCGCCACACCAGGCATGCACACCTGGTATGCGTGAGCATGCCTGCACCTGTGCATTAATGTCCACTGCGCAGGCGTATTGCTTGCTCGAATGGCGCCCACGGGGACCACACCTTTTGGCAGAGTTCACCGTCTTGCACTGCTACCCGGTGCTATAAGATCTTTGTTACTAACTAATAAAACAAAGACCATTTGATTAAACTGCATGATACGCCTGCAGGATGTTGTCTGCAAAGTTGAAACGTAACCCCCGAAGAACAAGTGCTTGCAAGCTCCCACACCGTTGCTGCTGTACTGCCTGTAGTCTTGCCCACTCTGTAGACAATGATTTTGCTGGGCCTGGATTTTTTTCCAGCTCTCGACATCGAGAATGAACGCACCAAGGACTGTCTGTGTGACGTGGAGTGGGATTGCAGGGACAACATGTGCTGGGTGGAGACACAGAACATGTCATTTGGCGGGGCCAACCTGTCCAAGACAAATCCTGACCTGGGTAGGTACTGCGGTGACACCCCTTCATTGGGCGCTGTCCTCCAATCGACCTGGTGTGGTCATTTCTTTGGAATTACGCCCTGAATTCTTTCAGTGCCTCTCTAGGGACGTACACGAATGGCAAATTTCACTACACACCTACAAGACCCATGTATCAAGGGTATATATAGCCAGCCAAAAATCTTCACCTCCCTAAAGCATGCACAACTTTTTATCCACTGTCAGAAATCAAATACCTTTTCTATGGAAACACCTCAAATGAATGCCTACTTTTAGATCACTGCAACATTTTGAAAAGTACCTTAAAATGTTGCTGTTTTCATATTATTCTGATATTTAAATAAGCTATGTCATTTCACGTACTGTTGAAAATATTTCATTTATAATCTCTTGGCCCCCCTTTTTTTCATTTTCTTTCTTATTTGTTCCTCCTTGTTTGTTTTTCCTTTGCTTTTTTTTTCTTTCTTATTTGAGTAGTTTACGTCATTTCTTGTAGTTATTAAAATTACCAAAAATGGGTCACTTGAGAGACATTCCCATAGGAACGTGCACGAAATTTTTCAAACTTTACCGTTCCATAATTCAATATTCCCAAATCCGATCTTAACTAAACTTTGCATGTTTTCCTTTCAGACCCTAATCTATCATCTCTCAAAATGTGTACAGTAAAACTTTTCTTCCTTTTGGTAGTTGGAGCATTAGGGAGACATTGAAATGTCTCCCTAATGACCAATGTCTCTCTAATGTTGAAAAATTTACCATAAAATGTCTCCCAGGTGACCTATTTGGAAATATTTATTTACTAATACGAAATATGATTATCAATGTGATCATGAATAATGTATCTTGTGTCTGATTTTCTTTTATATAATATTCCATTTATGATCTGGAAGTAATCTTTATCTGTACCTAATGGTATTATACAGATCTTACAATGGAGTAATTCTGGGTATACATGTAGTTTGCAAATTACAGAAATTGTCCTGGCATGTAATACACTTAATGTTGAGTTCAGGATTGGTCAGTGTGCAGTCACATGCATTGGCTATATAAAGTGACAAGTTTTCTGAGAAAGTGTAATTGATTTGCTGCAGAAACTGTTGGTTTCGTTCATCAGGAATTTGTGGAAATGAATGCAAAACAATGTTGAAGGAAAGAGTGCATTTCCATCTTGCCCTTTCTGCTTTTTCCAACCTATCCCCACAATGAAGTGTCTCATTTGGAAGTCAAGGGCATTCCACCCCAAATTGTATGCTCATGCTAGCCATTACATTAACCCTAACAGTCCCAAATCCTCCAATTTCAATACAATTTTACATACACCCTAGGGGGTTAGGGTTAAAGTTCCATCAAAAGTCTGTCTTGTAAAATAGGACGCATCTCCACAAAGTAGGCAATTTGTGCTGTATTTCAGAGGAGAAAGTTGCCAAGTTCTGTCGCAGCAGTGACAACGTGACCATTGCCAACTACACGACTTCTTCCTCCTTTGCCACGGGCTTTGGGCCGGAGCAGTCCCAGATTGACTCCTTCAATTTCAACACCAGTGTGGAAGGGGGGTGGGCCCCTGATCTAGACGACACAGACATTTGGATTCAGGCAAGCCCTTGTTTCTTTATCAATGTAGATTTTTGGGGGGGGGAAGAAAAATTTTCAGGAGATTTTAAGTGACAACCAAAATTGAAACATTTTTATATTTTAACACGTGAAAACACAAGAAAACTGTCCTGAAGTCTGACCCAGTGAATGTTTAATTTAAAAGTTAATTTCAATATCAGGAGACATTCTTACATTCTGTTGGCCCCTACTTGGCCTGGCCAGCATGGACGATTCGTGTCATTGGGCCTTTCACAATGTTGTGTATATCTCATAGCAGGATACTTCATGTTTATGCCAGTAGTACAGCTCCTTTTATCACATGCTTGCTATAGTTCGGCACAATCCAACATCTTTTACTGGAAAATATGGAAGTGACTATATCTATTTGCATATACCTTTTGTTTCATTGCTGCCATGTAAGAATGATCCTGCTCTGAAATGTACCGATTAAAAACACTGGGACTTTAACTTGTGCCCTTGCCTTTTTTTAGCTACTGGGAGATTTTACGCTGAAGTTTTGTCTCAGGTCATGAACGTCCTTTACCATTTATCTTACCCTTTGTTAGCAGCCTATTGTGGAGACCCTCATGTGCTGTTTGTTCATCTTATGTCGTTGCTGTGCAACATCTCTGGATTCTCGCCAGACTTGGGGGCAGGAAAAAAAAAACGCTTAGTGGTCTCCTCTTCTTAAACAGGTGGATTTGGCAGAGGATACGATCATATCAGGAATAGTGACCCAAGGCGTTGCCGTGAACCCGGAACGTCGTGTTGATGAGTTCAAGATCGAGTATGAAGCTTCAGACGCTGCAGCGGAAATCCTTGGTGGTGATATGGTAAATGTCCAACAAAGTTCATCGTCCCCCCCAAATTGGAAAAGACTTCTGTAACATGTGGGGTATTTTGAGCGGAGTGGAGAAGGGTCGATAGAAAAGACAAGGAAGCAAAAATTGCCACCAGTGTACCCGAGCCAATTTCTTGAAACCCAACCATTGCCCTGGGTATTCTGGTTTTACTTTGCCAGCTCCTTTGCTCAAACTTTAACCTACAAGTCAACTTCAGTGGAGCATGTTTAATAATCGACTTTCTGTTTAACTCGTTGCTTTTCTTCTTGACGGCTGTGTGAATGCAATAGTTTATTTTTAGACTTACAACTTTGCCAAAGGTTGGCAGTTGGCACCCTTGGACAAATATCAACATGGCCAACAAACTGTAACAGAAGACAAAACAGTGTACTTTTCTGTCTTGTAAATCTCCAATGGCTATTAATCATTTCCTGCCAGGGACTCCGGAATCGGAGATGTATGGTTTACATGCGTGGCCGGGGTCTCCGAACTTGGACAAAGGAAACAGGGCCCTGTAACAAAAGACCGTACTCCGAACAAAAGACCAGGCTGCTGGGCATTACCGACATTTTTCACTCTCAAAAGTGGTGCTAATCCAGCCTTGTTTTGAAACCGTATACCAGGGTTTGGGGCATTCAGAGCGACTGGATTACCACCGGGGACAAAAGCGCTCCACCACCGCAGCGATGAGCCACACAGCACTGCTGCACGCTAATCTGGCCCCTATTGAAAAGAGGTCAGCAGTGCACTGAGCCAGGTTCATGAACAAAAGACAGTTATACAACACTGCACAATCTGGGCTCTGTTTACAAGGCTGCGGGCCTGGCTGAAATACTCGGGTGTCAATGAAGGTCACCTGTCAACTTAGAGTAGTGCCTAAAGATTACTTTGTGCGGCTATAAACGACCGTTAAATGAAATGATGAATTTTTGAAGGATTTTGAAAAGGGAAAAAATGATAGTCATGCTAGCCCAGCATCATCAACATTGAAAAATGCCCCGGCATGAAGTTGTTAACCAAATACTTTGGGGTTTTTTGGAGTGACCTGTTCCCATGTTACCCATTAACACACAGCTTTACTTGTGACGCTGAGTAGTGTATCAAAGATTTTGTAGTCATTGCAATCAAATCTTCCTGAAACCCCTTTTAGCAAACCTGGTAGTGTGTGGATGGACCACCGGTGACCTTTTTAATGAAATATGTCACCATCAACCCATCAACGTTTGAAGTGAAAGGAACGTAAACATTCAAAGAGATGATGTGTCTTCATAAGATGCTCCGAAGAAGTGACCATTTCCCTGTTATCATTCAGTGTGTTATTTCAGAAGGCAAGCGCTGCTTCAGTTCATGACCATTTTCTCCTGTTTGGATGTGTAATGTGTTGATTGAACAGAGTTGGTTTGTATTTAGAATGAGTGAGCCCAGACGAAAGGAGGAAGTACACTGCAAACTCCCAGAGGGTGATCTTGAAGAATTCTACTTCTTCCGTAGTCTCCATCTCATTCTTCATTTCTCGTTTCCCTCCAGATCTTCAAAGCCGGGGCCAGACTAGACACCAAGATGACCAACAGTTTCCCGCAGCCCATCAAAGCCAATCGGGTGAAGATCTTGATCTCCACCCCCTGCGATCCCTACTACGTCGGCCTGCGCTTTGAGCTGCTGGGGTGCCCAGGTCAGATTGAGCAGTGTCCTTCATGTCCCGGTTTGAAATTTCCTCAACCCCACCGAGTCTTGTCCCCTGCCACCAACTTAGTTTTTTTCCTGTAGGGCGTTCCTTCCATCCTGCGACATGCACTGGGATGCACTGAGTGTAATCTGAAAATGATGGTTGTTCCATTCTGCTCTAGCCTGCACAACCTCCACAGTTTCCCATACCACCTCACTAGAAAGAGGATGTCATCTTCAGTCCAGCTTGTGGGAAACCTGTGTCCTGAAAAACAGTACTTCTGGGTTTGTTGTTTTCTGAAAGGAATTGTGGTTTCACGGGTCACTACTCGTTATGGAAATGAGAACTTAGCTCCAATAAAGCCCACAAACACACGCTCATATTCTCACCTACTCTTTCCTACTTCATGGCTGTCCCGCTCCATCGATTGCCTGTGCCCTGCCCCTTAGCTTTCCTGTATCTGGTGCACCCTTGATTCCACGGCAAGTCTTTTGTAGCACTACTTAAAAAACACCAGTCAGTGATGTTTGGAAAAAATCAGTCTGAATATATGGCCCAGCCTTTAAAATGAGTCACAAGTCACCAGAGCCACTTTTGACTTCTTAGGCCTTTAAAATCTTGCATGCTGTAAATCACTAGGAACCTACAGGAAGTCCATTTTCATGAGAAGGCCAAACTGAGTTGATACATCATAACAAAGAGCTCTGTTTGCTCTGTCCAATGCAAACTAAAAACCAAATTACAAAAAGAAAGTACCCTACGACTCTTTTTATGGAATCTGGCCACAGATGTGCTTTTGCATATCGTGTTTAGTTTTAATACCGTGTCAATTGATCAAAAACAGAATTCAGGTTAAGCAGTGACGACGCTTACAGTTTGTGGCACTGCTTTGCAAAGTATAACATTGGCCCAACCAGTGATGGGTCATGCCTGGTTACTGTTTCCTTCCGGCTTTGAGTTTTTCCCTGAGCGATGTACTGCAAAGAAAGTATGACCTTTGCCTTTGACACCACGGTGGCATGGACAACACTAACTTTGAAACTTTTCAGGGGCTGCGAAGGCAGACTTTTGACTCCTTGTTTTTGAGTACGTTCCATTAACTCAGGGGAAATGCCAAAAAAGTGGTTGGTTGTTTTTCTTTATATGTGCATAACCCATTTAATGTTCACATAGCCTAATCGTGCCAGCTGCAGTCAAATATCTGAACTAGCCCTTGTGGGAAGTCCCAAAAATCTCATTTAAAGACAACATGCACGGAGCATCCACATGCACTGCAGCACTTTCTCAGTTCTTTTGTTCATTGCACAATTAAAGTGGGTTAAAGTTGAACAAATGGAAAAACTTGTTTAAAAATTTGAGTTTACCGACTCCTATTAGCAGCGCATGAGACGCAAGGGAAGGAATAACAACACGATGCTGCCATAAGCACGCAGTTGTCTTTGGAGGTCCTCCGTTTGAACAGTCAATTGAGCCCAAAAAATACATGCACACAGTGTAGATCTTGGAGAACTTGGTGGTCATCACTCAGGACTTGAAAGGTCCTGAAATCTCAACTTGAGAGAAGAAAGTTTATTTTGCTGAGATTAGTCTAGACCTCATTCATTCTCCTTGGATGAAATGGGGTGGAAAACACACAGTCTAGAACAGTTGGACGTTTTCCCCACAGCCAATATATGACCCAACCTGTACAAGATGAACTTGAAGCTTTACGTGTTGTTTCAAGCCTCCAGTGTCTTGAAGTGGACGTCAAGACTTCTCGTCTTTGACAGGGCTCTGTCTTTTTTATTCCAGTTTGTGAGACGGCAAATGATTGCACAGAATTTGCCAATGGAATTTGTGAAAATGAGAAGTTCTGTACTTACGAAGGTAAGAGGCTGACATTTGGCTCAGTCCTTGATCAATTTTTTTCCTTTCTTCAGCTGTTTTGTAACACAAGAGAACAGGAAATGGGTGAAAATTAAGGTAGAGTTGTGGTTGGTGTTCTAGCCCCTCTTGTAGAAGATGCTGTACTGCTATTTTAAGGAAAACACCTCTGACAGGTTGCAGTCTAGATTATTTTCAATCCACCAAACCTTGATACCATGTTTTACAAAATTATCGCCACAATGTGCTGTAAAATTTGGTAATCTAGAGGCTTATTTGTTTAACGTGGATCTGGATTGGTACCAGTGATCTGTCATTAGTTCACCGACCCCAAAGCCTGCGTAATGGATGGAGGGAACCAGCGTCGAGATCACTGATTGAGATCCAGATCCATGTGAAACAAACAGGCCCTTTGTCAGGCCTTGGCCTAGTAATCTTCAAATATATGTAGTATAGTATATGTATAGTATATGTATGTATAGTATATTCAACTTCACAAGTTGACTTCAGATGACCTTAAGACATTCTGTTTCAGTTTCGGAACTCTTAATAATAACAAGTTCTGACCTGTGTACATTTGCCAATGTAGCTTACAACCATAATTAGGTATTTTAGATTCTAAATTCATAATAAGGCTTACTCATTTGTTTGACTTTTGAACTTGTTCAGATTTTGCCAGTTTGCATGTTTTTACTTGTTGGAGTCCCTTTTAACAGACTTTCTTTGTCAAATGGGCTTTAGAACTCACAACGTTAATGCCAACCTCCACTGGGCCCACCACAGGGCCAATAACTGCCCAAACCACTGGGCCAATGTCTTCAGGGCCACTGACCTCCAGTGACATGCCAACCTCCATTCTTCCTGCCTCACCAGGGCCGACCACCCCAGCAGAGACCACAACTGCCAGGCTGAGCACAGCTGGCCAGGCCACCACCAGTGGTGGGGCCACGACTAAGGCCCCGACCCCCCAGGCCAGCACTGTAGTGCCTGTTTTGACCTCTACCCTGGAGGCCACTGTGACGCAGACACAATCACCAATAGAGGAGAAGATCAATGAAGTGACACAGAATTTGCCACCTAAAGTATGTCATTGTGACATTTTGGTTCTAGTCTGGAACCTTGATATGCCCCAACCGTGGCTGTACAGTGTGAGCCTCTGCTGCTGTACCAACGGGTTAGGTCTAGCATGCTTATCGCTCAAGGCAACCACTTAGAGCCTGTTTAATTCACACGGTTCCAGATTGCGATCAGTGATCCTTTGTTGGTTCATTAACACTAGAGCCCACCTAATGGATGGTGTGAATCAGCTTTGGGATCACTCATTGAGATCAAGATCCGTGTGAATCAAACAGGTCCTTTGCTGTGTGTTCCATTTGGCCTGAAGCACACAGACGTATGACGTGTCTGTACACGGATGGATGAACAACAACCCGATAAACTGCTGTTTATGTCCGTGTCACGTCTGATTCCGGTTGTGCTGCTGATCAGTTCAGGTGATTCACAGTGCCTTGCACCACTAAGAGGTTGCTGCGGAGGGGTCCTTTTCGTAGTGTATTGTAAGAAAACGGTCAACAAAAATGCTTTACACCTGCTGCACTGTGTTGCTTGGGGAACTTGAATTGTTCTACTTTCTTTTGTCTGGGTTGAAGTTCCGGAAGTGTTAAGAGTTGGTGTTAAGTAATATGAAATGGGGATGTTTTTGTGAGGCACATAATGCTGCGATCAATGACACATTTCCTCAAATTGTGCACTAACGTTAACTCAGTTGCAAATTGAGGCAAGGCGGCCATTTTGTGGTCGACTACTTCATCACTTGAAAAGTGAAGTCTCCATGGTTATTTCCCTCCCCCAAGTCTTCTCTTGCCCTCCCCCCACTGGCACTTATCGTGCACGGGGTATCATTCTTGTATTTCCTTTGGAGAAGGTGAAGAGTAAAATCCAGAATCTGTGCACACAGTTGTCCCCAAGTGTTCAGTTACAAGATGAGATGCTTTCCGCCTGGCCACACTGCTGCACTCCCCCCCCACTTGCACCCAAGTATTGTAGAGTCTGGCACAGCTACCAGCCACCAAGGCCCAGATGCATGCTGCCCGCTTGCAGGCAAGGGGTGATGAGCAGTATGTGGCGTCCGTGAAACAGTTCCTGACTCCACACTCATTGGTCTGTATTACAGGTGAAGAAGGTGGTGGAGGACCTGCTGCTGGTGAGGGACGACCTGGACGGCGTCTCTGCAACCGACCCAACAACCTACCCGACGGTGAACATCACACAGAACACCATCAAGGCCGGACTGGAGGTCATCCGCAACATCACGGTGAAGGCCAACACCACACAGGACAACAAGCTGCAGGTTGACATCATCAAGGGAGCCTGGAACTTTCTCGCGGCCGTATCCACATCTGACAAATTCGTGGGGAACGCCCAGCTTTTGGACGTGAGACAGAACTTTTTTTGACGAAATGAATTTTTTTGGGGGGTGCTGAAGTTACAGTGTTGCACTTGCTCTTTTCAAACTTGCACTGTTTCGTTAAAGGAATCAGTAAATGGAAAAAGATGAAGTATTTGTTGGGAGGAAGGAGCATAATAATCACACTAAATGTGAAAATATGTTAAAAATTTAAATCTCCAAAGTCAAGATAGATACTCACTCGTCGTTCATCTGGCAACCAATCAGAATACAGAAAAGATGCTGTCCCAAGATCAACGACCACGGGAAAACAAAAACAATCCTCTTCTTGAACTCGAATGATGCAATTTGTCAACTTAAATAATTCCTGTCAGTCTTACAATCTGCCATACATTTCTCACTTTGTGCTCTCCAATGTTGTCATAACCTGCATGCATGCCCTGCATGCTAAAGATTGTAATGTTAACATTTTCTTTCCTGTGTTAGGAGTTCATGAGTGTGTCTAGTCTCATCCTTGATGAGGATCGCAAGGAAGCCTGGAGAGAAGTCCAAAAGGTTAACTTTTCCTCCCAATTTTTACCCTTCCTAAAGTTTTGAGTCTGTCCTGCTGTAGAAGTAATAGAACTCAAGCTCTTTATCACATCCTAATTAGTTAATTTTCACACAGTCTGTGCCATCAATCCAACTGATTTCTCCGTTTGTACTGAAGTGCGCAACAATCATTCCAGTTCACTACACACTGGCGTTGCCATCTCCCTGCAGCCTTGGGCAGCTCTGTTGTATTTATAACATAGAAAATGTCGATATGGACAATTTTGTCAGGTAGTTTTGATGATTTGTATTTTTTTTTAAACTAAGCTTTACCGGGCTTCATTGGCATAGCTAGGATTTTGATAATGGGGGGCACAAAGGGGGCACCAGCATCTTATGGGGGGCAGTAGCTTTTAGTGGTGTGTTTTTTTGGGGGGGCAAATGTTTGTTAGCCCCCATCCATCCATGTTTGTTGTCACAAATTCTGAAAAATCACATTTTTGAAGAACCTTTGCCCTCTCCAAATAGAACGGGCCATTACGTGTTTTGGCATTGCGTGACTTAATGCCCCTTTTTGCAGAGCGGGTCACATTTATTGCTGTTGTTTTTCTTGGTCTTCATTTCAGGAGAGTGTGGCTGGGCCACTAGGCATTGTTACTTCAGTGGAGGATGTGGCAACAAAGATTGCTTCAGGTTCAACATTTAACATTAACCTCACCATCAGTGAACCCAACATTGGTATGAAAACTGTCATTTGACTGATTAACCACTTCAATGTTGATGATGCTAAGCCGGCATGACTATCATTTTTTCCGTTTTCAAAATCCTTCAAAAATTCATCATTTCATTTAAAGGTCGTTTATAGCCGCACGAAGTAATCTTTAGGCACTACTCTAAGTTGACAGATGACCTTCATTGACACCCCAGTATTTCAGCCAGGCCTGCAGCCTTGTAACCGTCTTTTGTTCACAAACCTGGCTCAGTGCACTGCTGACCTCTTTTCAAAAGGGGCCAGATTAGCGTGCAGCGGTGCTGTGTGGCTCATCGCTGCGGTGGTGGAGCGCTTTTGTCCCCGATGGTAATCCGCTCGCTCTCAATGCCCCAAACCCTGGTATAGGGTTTCAAGACAAGGCTGGATTATCACCACTTTTGAGAGTGAAAAATGACGGTAATGCCCAGCAGCCTGGCCTTTTGTTCAGAGTACGGTCTTTTGTTACAGGGCCCTGTTTCCTTTGTCCGAGTTCGGAAACCCCGGCCACTCATATAAACCATATGTCTCCGATTCCGGAGTCCCCGGCAGGAAGGGGTTAACATTGTTTTTTTCCCAAAAATCCCGCCATGAAGGGGTTAAGTAATTAATGGGGTAAAATTCAAACACGTTGCACCACCTATGACAGGCTTACGTTTGTTGTTGGATTGGCACTAAAATAGGCTGATGAATATTTAAGTGAAATGTTGTTGGTTTAATTTGTGCTTTTCAAATTTCTTCAGGGAAGCTGTTGCCAAGAAAGAGGGAATCATGTTATTCAGTCATTGTTTTGCAGTTGTAGTAAAAGTGTGTGTCTGGGTTGAAAGCAGATGTGAACTTTCCATGCAGCAGTGTAGGCGGCATGAGTAGCTGGTGGGAAAAACTTTCCCCCTCACCTGTCTTTGACCCAGGTTTGACTCCTGAACGATATGCAAGTACTGAGTTAAGAGTTACTTGTTGATTAAATCCTGTGCCCTTTGTTGTTCGGATAGGGGCGATTTGGTGGCTGCTTAAGGCACCTCTAGTGGACTCTGGCTCAGCCACGTTGCGGCCGCCTCCTTTGGAATGCAGCCGTGCAGCTGCAAGTAAGAACTAAAAAAGGTTTGTTTCGGTTGCAGAGGGTTTGATCCGTGGGAAGGCAAAGGAGGAGTTTGTGAGGGATGGTTACATGTACACCTTCCCGAAGGGGGATCCTAATGAAGTGTCAACTGAGGTTACCATCCTCAAAGATGAGTTTGAAGATAACATCCGTGTGACCAATTCGCCTGGTAAGATTACTATATACATACCCACGGCCCCCAAAAAGAAAACCCTTCAGCCAAGTTTACTAAGCAGTGTATAACATCATGCCCTGACTTGGATGTAAAAAACATACCATTACTACTTGAAAGAACATTGGTGAGGACATCACTGCTATTGTACTAGCAAATTGCCCCTGGCAATCAGTGTGAAATGTTTTTAATTTTCACTGGATGCCGTATAAAAGCAACTCTCACAAATCTCTCGCTGGGATATACATGTAGCTTCAATCAATTTGTTTTAATACAAATCTTCAAAATGCACCTTTGTGTCTCAGTTAACTGTATTTTCAAATTTAGTTTCACAATTTCCAAGGTTGTTTTACTGCCTTTTGGGTTTTTATGCTGAGATTTCCATATTTATGAGCCAAACTATGATGTCATCCATGGAAGAAAGTCTCAGTGTTCAATTGACTTGTACACAAAAAGTTGTGCATTTTTGTAGATTTTACTGAATTAAATTTTGTTTTCTTTGTTGATTCACTGTTGTTTATGTGCATAGAAATAAAAAAAACATCAATTTCTTTCTCAGAAATATTTTCAATAAGTATATTCTGGGTTTACAATTTGAAGAGAAAACCTAAGCACTGAACCATGTCTTCCCTTGATGACATGGCAATATCAGTTGTCCTGGAAAGCACACATTATTCTAAGTGTTAGAAAGGGGCTCTTTTCAATTTATGTAACCAAAATAATTTGTAAAAGAGTTTTCATACCGGTACATTGAAGAAGACAACAGAAAAGTTGTGTTTAAAAAAATTACCTTAAGCTACCGTACACTTTAAGAAACAGTTAGTTATTCACAAAAAATTTGGAGGAGGTGTCTTTCCTCAATGTATTTTTCATGAATCATGAACTCGGCAAGCTCAGGTCCTAGAGGAGGTTGTCCCATTTTATTCCGTTATCAATGCTGCTGTTGTGTGATAAATATTCATTCACTTGAAAACAATCACTCGACGCAAATCCGACTACAACGGTTCCCAACAGTTAACAGCTCCTTGGTGGTTGTGGTTCTCAAGTTCTCCGGCATCGAGAAAATCCTTGATGAGGATGACCTGCAGGACAAGACGCCCGAGGTTCAGGAGAAAAAAAGAGTCGGTAGTGACATTCTGNGAAAAGGACACGATCTCATTGCCTGTGACCTTCAAATTGAGCCATGACAAGGTAGGTTTGGTTGGGGTAGATGTGTGTTGACGTGATTGCATATCCCAGTGCCACGATAATTTTACACAATACGTATTTACTTTCAAGCAAACTTGAGTCCTCAGTTTTGATTGGTTGATCCATGGTAATAAACGGCGTTATACTGTATGTTGTTGCAGTTCAAGATCCCACCCCAGGTTTTGTACCTCTAACTCCAGATACTATGCTACTTTACACTTGTGCAAAATGTTCAGCTGCAGAAGTCACTGTACATTCAAAAGTAGGGTGTTGGCATTCTGTGCTGATTGTCACGTGTGCACACTCATTACGATCCCTGGGGGGCTCCTGACTATTTTTTGGAATGGCGTACATTAATAAGACTGTGGATAAAGTTACACTTAAACTTAAATTCTGCAACTCGCTCAGCCACAGAATTGTGTCGCACAAGTAAGTGCTTGGAGTGTGTGCCTTTAGTAATTTAAAAAAAAAAGTCTTCTTTTTCTTTTGTGTGCAGTAGGCATGTTCCTGCTTTACTGCTTGTCAAGTTTTCTTGGAGATAAATTGGTTATCATGCTCGCAATCGTGGAACTTGGAATCGTATAGTGCATCTATCAGCACCACATTAGTTCATGTTCCACCTGCACTCACATGATAACTATTATTTAGTAGTCCCGGTAATGGTTATTGTCTGTTTTCAGCGAACAATGCTCGTGTTTTGTTTTGAGGTTTGTTGTTTCTGCAAATGTGACACGACTTCAGATGTTTGACTCTGATAATACTTTTTGCATGTGATTGTTTTCTTTGTGTTACTATCCGCCAATGCTTAATTCTTTTAAATTTTTACTATGGTTTAATGAGCTGTATATCAGGTTTATAATTTAGTAAAATCTCTGAGCTCTGGGGAGAGATGTTACTGCAACATCAGTCAGCTTGAGCATTACATGAAGTGAAAACAATGCATTTTTGAAAGGCTTTTAAGAGGGTGCATTCTTTATTGATACTTAACACAACATTTATAATGGACTCTTTCTCTGAAAGCCATTCAAAAGCACCTGTCTAGCTGTAAAGAAAATAAACTAAAACTAAGTTGTTGGAAAAAGGCTGAATGGAGAGATGTGTATCAAGTTTCTGTGTGAAAGATGTGATGTTATCTGTGTCTCTGATTTCATGAGGCAAAGAGTTCCTAATCCGGGGTGCAACATTTGACAAGGCTCTGTCACCATAACTGACAAGAGGAGCTAAGGGAACTTTAAGGAGACTGGTAGATGACCTCATGCCTGGTTTGCATTTGTGCGATGCAGAGTTAAGCCCAGTTTCCATACAGGGGTAAAGAGACACAGACAGTTACCAGCGATAATCTGTAATGTTGAAGTGCTTTATCGTGACTGACATGCAAGTGTGGGCATAAATTGACGGCAAACTTGGATAATGTTCAAGTTTGCCAACTCTGCATGGAATCGTCTGAGCGGCCCATACAAACATGCACACTGGCATAACAGGTGGACAGTTATGCCCCTTTTGCTTGAATGGCATATATTTGGCCTATTCTTCCACCTGACCAGGAAATGAAACTCCAGTGTCGAGAAAGCGTCTGGTCAGAAATGAAATGCATTGAATCAAAGTAGCAGTTTAGTATCAGGAAATGATATAACCATAAAAACCCCATTTCCCACGAAAACTTGGCGAGTCTTGGATGCCATTTTGTTTTTAGTGTTTTGCTGAATAATGTCATGCACGGTCTTGACATCTTATGTGCCAGACCTTCCTCAAGATTTGCAAGTTGACTTTGAATCACTGAAGTTGAATTTGAAGTTACATTTCATTGTGTGGCCTGTTCAAAACATCGCAGCATTAGCTGAAACATTTTTGTTGCAGGGCCAAAGGCTTGACATTTTCCCTTCCTCGTCCTTCTGTATTGATCTGGTCGATTTTTACTTGATGTATGCCAAGGTGTGGAAATCCAATTGACATGAGCTCTGTTCTGTCCTCTTGTAGCCACGAGATAGGGAAGACCAACGATGTAACTTCTGGCAACCTGAAAGGTAAAGCTTACCATTTTTGTTTCTTTCGGCAGATAATTTTTTTTATCTGTGGAATCACCTTTGCATCTCAGAATCATACAATGAATTACATTTTGCAAATGGGGTGATGTACTATACCAGGATTTGTTAACAGCACATTAGGGTTGCTCAGTGAAGTGAAGACAATACAGCACTTTCCTAATCATTTGTTGAATCTATTGGGGATTTTCCAAATGCTGTTATGTGCACGGCAAAAGAGGGTAAGGAACAACCAACAGTAATGTTGAACACATTACACAGTGCACATTTGATGCAGTGTACTTCCATTAATTAGAGTATAGGCCTATGGTCACTAAAAACAAATTTGGAAGGGCAGAGCAGAAAAGAACTCCATCCTTACTGAACAACACTGTGGTTGTAACTTTTTAATGTTGACAAGGACTTTTTTGTAGTTTTTAGTGGTTTGGACTGGATTACTGGTACCTCAAAGTCAGCCTTTTAATGTACGCACAGTGTTTATGGAACAGCTACATATCAACAGGAGGGTTGTATTAAAAGAGAAAACTGAGTATTGTGCATTAAAAGGGGGTTTATGAATAAAAGAAAACTTACCTGGCAGGTAGGATAACTACATTTGTTTGGGAAATCCTGTAAATGAAATTTTCATTTGCTTTGGACAGGGTACCAGTCCAATTTATTTAAGAGGAGAATGAGAGGCAGAATTTCACATATACTTATCTTTCAAGCAGTTTAGGTGTTTGTCCCTCCTCCCCATATTACTTCCTGCAAGCTTTCCAGCAAGACCATTTTCCCTGACCGTGCTTTTGATGAGCACGGTTGTGGTCTCTTTGGTCATTTCCCCCGTCTTTCTATTTGCAGCAAAATCATTGGCGTGTGGTCCAACAAGGGTTGCGAAACTTCCGAAAAAGAGCCACTGTACACCAAGTGCTCCTGTGATCACATGACCAACTATGCCGTGCTGATGTGGCTCGGGGAAAAGGTGGGACTACTTTTGGTCCTCTGCGTTTTGTTTTCTTTTCCATTTGGTTCCCTTGCAGAAAGCCCCAACAGAAACCCACTGGTTCCTGCCACCGACTTCACAAAGGACCACATAACAGTATAGTCGCCAATTGTGAGATGCACAGGAAAATAATGCAGCAGTAGAACAATTTTACAAAAATCGCAATTTCAAGAAAAAGAATTGATTCAAGAATCAATTTTACAAAAAAGGTGAAGAGAACACGTGAAAAGTGTGTGCATTTGTGCAATCTTAACAGGTATATTAAAACCTGTAATGATTGGGTGATTACAGAAATGGACAAACAGGACGAATACACCAACAAAACACTCACAGAAGGAAATGGCAGGAAGAGTCTCAATGCACCTCGCATTACATGCCAATCAGGACCTGGTTGGTCAGCACATTTCATAATGACAACCCCCCCCATTTAAAAATTGTTTATTAACACCAGGACCCACATCCTGTGGACGCTACTTACTTGTCACTAACCTGATGTGAGACTGATCACAAACATTACTTCTATGGTGTTCAAAACACTATGCGAGTTAAATGCTTGAAATCTGACCAAAAACCAAACGGTAAGCCTGTTCCTCGTCAGTGCCCACACAGGATTCAAAGAGGTCCTGAAATGTTCCCCCCCAAAGCACTTAGTGTTGTTATGACACAGCTTTAACATCCCTAATTATTTTCAAATGGCCATTCTAGCTGTGCTGTCATAATATACACAGTAACTGTTGGACTCAATTTGACAGGCGCCTGAAGACCGTGAAGCCATTAACATCCTCACCAAAGTGGGCTGTCTGGTATCCATTGCCGCTCTTGCCTTGGCTGTGGGACTGCTGCTCTACCTGAGGTGAGTACACAGGGTGTGCTCTGACTACACCCACCACCAGTGACAAATGGCCAGTGGGGGGGTGGGAGGTGGGGGGGTTAGTGGTTACGTTTTAGCTTGTTGCTCTGCTAGGCTCCTGAATTTGATCTCATGCAAAGACTGGCAAGACACTGAAACAATAACATGACCATCATCTACGCTCCAACGTTGCGCGCTGCTGCAACGCACCTTGTAGACGTTAATTGATGCTTTTCAGATGGTGTCAATAAAGTGTTATCACAAAGCGGCTTTTTTGGTTATGCAGCACAGTGGCCAATACATCCCTGCAGGGAGTGTATCACAAGACAACTTGGAGCCCAAATTATGGCTAACCAAAAACTTCACCATTTTCCATGGTGCTCCAACTGTCTGGCTGGATAATACTCTCTCATCGGATGCATTCAACAACTTTTAACCACTGTCATCTCCTGCATGTATAAATCCGTATGTTGAACCTGCACGTAGCAAAATGCCTGTTCCCCTTCCATAAACACAAAAAAAATATCCTCACTCTTACCTTCCTGCGACGTTTTTGTAGACAAACAAGTTGTCACTCTATCTAATTTTTTAGATGTATGGCTCAGTAATGGTAGAGACGTTCATTAACCACTATCTGCCGGGGCAGCTTCCAATGTTGATGATGCTGGGGCGGGATATTTATCATTTTTTTCTGTTTTCGAAATTCTTTAAAAAAATTCCAATCTGCATTGACTGCACACTTATACCCACACGAAGAATGGTCTGGTGTCCACTCTAGCCTGACACACAAAATCTATTAACGCCCGAGTATTTCAGCCAGGCCTGCAACCTTGTAAAAAGAGCCCAGATTGTGCGGTGTTATCTAACTTTCTTTTGTTCACAAACCTGCCACAGTGCGCTGCTGACCTCTTTTCAAAAGGGGTCAGATTGACATGCAGTGGTGCTGTGTGGCTCATCGCTGCGGTGGTGGAGCGCTTTTGTCCCCGGTGGTAATCCGCTCGCTCTCAATGCCCCAAACCTTGGTATTCTGTTTCAAAACAAGGCTGGGTTATCTCCACTTTTGAGAGTGAAAAAATGTTGGTAATAATTACATTTGCCAGGCATTAAAGACCAGGCTGCTGGGAATTCGAGGATAGTTTTTCCCCCTCAAACTGACATAGGTTGCTGATGTTGCATTTCTTTTTATCTGCAGGTCAACGCTGAGCTCGGAACGTATCATTATCCACATGCATCTGATGACCGTCACCTTGATCGCGTTGTTACTCTTTCTGGTCGGCATAGACAAGACCGAAAACAAGGTAAGTACGTCCCTCTCACTCCATTCCCATTCAGGTCTTGAAAAACTGACTCTGAAAAAAGGAAACTTAAAAAAATGAGAGTTAGATAGTTACGTTTATGGAAATATCATCCTACAATGAGATGGGGAATTCAGAAGAGGATGAATGGTGTTGCAAACCAATATTGAAGATCTGGTAATATACATGTGTGTATGCTGATGGGGACTTGGTCTGAACAGACTTCTAAGAGAGAAGCCCAGGAATTCAGCTGTCAGGCATCATCGTGTAATGGTAAAGACTTAAAAACTTTGGCTGTAGTCCTGAGAAATTGGTGAGTAAAAAACTGTATTCAGTCCAGCACAAGAAGCTAACTGGCTGCAACATGCACATGGCGCCTTTTAAAATGATTACGAATTCACCTGCAAGAACACAAGAAACCTGAGGAAGTTTGTCAGGGACATAAAACCGAGTCGCATTTTGGGCCATAGCACATGCTGTCCTGTTGTTTCATACAAGAAATCGTCAGGCCAACAAGACAGTTTGGTGGCATTTGACTTGGCCCGGATACATTGCGCTGTCACGAGGTTAAGTGTGCATGCAAACTTGAGCTCCTTGGACGACATGCGCTGTTGCTGTTTTGCGTAATTTAGTGCAAGCTTTACACTAGTACCCAGTAGCTGTGGAGATGGCCGGCAGCTATTTGCAAGGAGCTTCATGCAAGAGCATCAGAGAGATTAAGTTCACTTGGAAAGGGAGGCGTGGCTCGAAAGGGTAACACAACAACTCTATGGCAGCGATTAAATTAATGAGCAGGATGGTTTAATAAAGAAAACTGTCTGTGTGTGATGCCCAGATAATCAGAAAAATCAGGGGGGGGTTGCTGACTTGCAATTGACTAGGATACCGTAGCAATCTTGGGGAAACTGTGATTGTGTAAACAGAGGGGTAGAACTGAAACCAGTGATGAGGAACTTTCTGACAGACCATACAACCGGTTCATTGTGTCAGAAGTACATTTATATTCCAGTTACACCAGCAAAGGTTACTCGTTAATGAATAATTTACGAAAAATGCATCTTGTTTTCTTGGTTTCATCAACTTAGCTGGTGTGCCAGTTCATCACCATTGGCCTGCACTTCTTCTACATGTCCATGTTCAGCTGGATGCTGGTGGAGGGTATTCACCTCTATCGCCAGATTGTCGCCGTCTTTGATAGCGAGAAATCCCGTATTTGGGTCTACTTTGCCCTCGGATGGGGTAGGTGAAAGGGGATGGACCTTGCTGGGAAGATTTCTTGTAAAACATGCATCAACACATACACCAAACATACATATAACAAGAAAACAGAATTTCAAAATGCGTGGAAATATGTTAAAAATTATAGTTTTTGTGACCCTATTTCACTTCCTTCTTGGAGAAAAAGCTTGATAACAGCCGTCGGGTTCCACAGGTTGTCTGAAGAAGTTCCCAAGAATTGTGACATCACAGGACAGAGTCCTTTATCTGGCGACATGTGCGTAATGCAGTAGCATTACCATGTGCCATCATGTCAGACGAACATGACAACTGATTACTGTCATGATCAGAAAAAGAATCAACGCTGGGATTATTATCGCTTTAATCGTCGAGACGCTAGTAATCATCGCGACGATAATTTCAGCATAGATGCTTTTTATCTTATTATCATCTTATTCATTTGACAAAGAAAGCGACATTGAAGGAGCTGATGAGGCACAAGAAATATGGCCTTATCAGTTCGAACCAGAATACACTCGGGAAGAGATTTTGCAACTCGAGGCTGTTGGCCACGGGCATGGTGGCGACCGGGAGGATCGACAAGAAACACTGGCTATTTTTGGATTTTTGCCCTGCCCGACGTGTATTGCAACACATTTATACTCCATGTTTGCCCTGAAGGCTTGTGAGAAAACCCACAAGCGTACTTGGGTGGGACTTGAACCCATGACCTCTTGCTTACTAGTGCTTACGACTTAACCACCCAACCACTGAGCTTGCTGGTGTTTGGGTGGTGATCTAATCTAATCAGTCCATTACAGTCAGACTCAGTCAGTACAGTATAATCAATTCCATCCAATATGATTGATCAATCCAATCAGTTGGTCCGTCAATGCAGTCAATCTGTAGTTAAGTAAAGCTGTTGTCAACTTTTCTTGTAGGAATTCCCATCATTGTGGTGGGAATTACATCTGGAATTTTCTTCAATCAGTACAAAGACCACGAAATGTGAGTGTTTTGTCTGTGTCTCCATTGTGCATTTGATTCTGATGAGCTCTTAATCCTGAAAGGTGATTGTTCAAAACTTGCAAATACAGTTTGTCAGGTTTACAAAACTGATATCATCCAGCATTCAGTTTACAGAGGTGAGACACTCTGTGAATGTTGTAGCATTATTTGCTCAGCAAAGCTTGGGAATTCTGTGTCATCAATCTTGGAAAGAATAAATTTTGATGGATAGCAGAGCAAATGCGTTTCAGGATATTACTTTTACTTGTTTTGGCACCCCCGAGTCTGTAGATTTTTTTCACAATCTCAAGTGCTTATCTTAATCAGTCCATGAGAACAGGAATGTTAATACAGGAAACAAATTGACAAAAGATGAATGCATTTCAACTCCATCCAAATATATTGTTGTTATTGTTTTGATTTTGTTAAATGCATTTCACATAATACTCTCGGGAAGTATAAACGATGTTGAGATGTAGAAAAAAATCTTGAATTATATAAATGCATTTGAACTGATTTTGTCTGACAGCTGTTGGCTGGAGGTGAAAGACAACAGTATTTGGGCATTCCTGGGACCAATCATCCCCATTCTGTTGGTGAGTCATCCGTTCAACTCTTCAGAGTAAACTTTTCAATATCAGCAATGCAACAAGAGATTAGATCACAAACAAGCCATACGTTTAATACAGAACCCTATGGAAGAAGTGAACCTGTCCTTTCCCTACTGTGACAAGAATTTTCCGATTGACTTTGGACTTTTCTCGACTGATGTGACATTTTTCCAGTAGACTTTTCCTGGGAAACTTCCAAATTGACCAGAAACTTTCAAGTTTCTTGAAACAGGCCTTGACCTTAAGCTTTTTAACTAGCCCACTGGGCAAGTGAACTTATATTTTGACTAGCCTACAGGAATTTTCACTTGCCCATTGTACATTTTCAAGCAAACTAACTTTGACCGGCTTTTTGTAAATTCATTATTTCAACTGTTGCTGGGAAGTCATGCTGTAAATTTTAAAGCTTAAAAGTGGAGGATTAAAAAATATTATACTTGGTAATAAACAAGTCATATGATCAATTTGCATGCCGGTCCAGTGCAAAGTTCCAGGCCTTCTTGAAACATAATAAGTAACCCTTGAACTACAGAGGCTTTATCAGTATAGAACTTGAAAGTGGATCAACATAGGAACTTAAAACTGGATAAGACAGAAGGCGAGAGCTTGACGATATGATGACATGAGTAAAAGTGAGAATATATTCGATGTAATTGAAGATTTGACGTATTATTAAGAGACTGGAAGCTTTTTGAGAAATAGCTAAATTGTAAAATGAACACATGTTGAGAGTGCCGTCCAGGAGTGTAAAGACAAGACAGTGAAGACTTTAAAAACAGCCAACTGCTTGTTTTTGGTCTTTTGATGTTGAAATGGGCACTCTTCAGTTTACTTGTCTGATCTCTGTCGGACATCTTACCATCCTGAACATCTAGCCAGTGAGTATCACACTTTTGGAAGCGTCCCTTTTGCGATTGTATTTTGGCAGGTGAACGTGGCTGTGCTATTCATGGTGTTGCGTATTGTGATGTCTGCTGCCAAGCTGCAACAGGAAAAGCCAATTTTCAACAGTGTCAAGTAAGCTTATGCCTTAGATCTTTCAGCCCTACTTTTGGTGCGATGACCCAACAGTCACTGGAGTATGGAGTATTTTTTCTTAGTACTGAGGAACTTGGATAGATTGGAAAAGTTTTGGAGGCTGAAGGTACCTGCCATCCAGTAAAATCACTGTTGTTGCTAGTAAAGGGACTTCATGAAGATTCCGGACTCAAGCTTAAGATGTGACTTTGCCAAAATTTGCTGTTTTTTTTCTTCAGAGAAAATATCCTGAAAGACGGTACATGTAAATGTATTAAAACAGGACTTTTTCCCAAAACAGCACACTCTATAGAGAGTGGAAAACATGTTCCTTTGAACATGTTTGTCACTCATGGGTCTTTTTCTCAATTTTAAGATTCCTCAGAATTGTGTTTGATTCTTTGACTTAAAGAAAAACCACCAACTAAAAGTGGCCTTTTTAATTTTCCGGGTATATTCATTTTTGAAATTGTCAAGTCACCTGAGTCAATTTTTTTAAAGCAAATAATGACCTCTCATTTCCAGCAGTCATACGAACACATGCAGTACAAGGTAGTAACCAAATTAGTTGGCTGTGTAACCCACGTGTCTGTGCTGGGAAGTAGCTACAGCTTTCAGTCAGTGGCTTCCATAGCTACATGTATTATTTGCGGTCATAGCCATGACATTTGGGTGTACACAAACCATGCCACTGACCAACCACATTGTGAGCATGGTAGAGTTGTTATGCTGAAAAATAATCCAGTTGAGAAGGAATCAATTCCTAAAATATATTATTTCATGAGCTTCAAACCAGTTTGGGCGCTTGAAATCAATTTAGGTGTTAAAAATTAGTGGATGTGTTCAAAATGATTTCTTTTGTGTACTTCAAATCCTGGTGATCGTTCAGAAATCGTTGTGTGTACTTAAATTCAATTCATCTGTACTCCTCAATTTCCAATACTCCAATTCTTTGTGCGTGCTCCACATTTTGACAGGAAAGGTGCGCGTAGTTCCCTTCTTCTTCTGCCCATTCTGGGGACCACCTGGATAGTCGGATACTTTCAGCATAACCTCCTGTCTCTGCAGTACGTCTTTGTGACACTGAATGCCTTTCAGGTAGGGTCATGGTGTCAAGGTGTGGCATATATTACCATGCCAGAAACTGTTAATGACTCCCATGAAATGGTTCACAGTTGGTGGTCAGAACGCAGAGAAAATTTTCAGGTTTGTGGGAATGATCCCATGAGACTTTATGGTAAGTTCTTTTTTTTTTAAAAGAACACCACAAGTACACCTGTTGGGCTATGGCTGAATTATTGATCTCCATTTAAAGACTGGTTAGGACGTGGCACCTGCCATCTCTTGCCTGCTGCGTGTTTCATTGGTGTGGGTTTGAAAGTGTGAAATGTGTTTGTCACTCCAGACTGGCAAGTGCACATTATCTATGCCACAAACACAATACCCCAAGCAAAATACCACTAAGAGATAATACAGCATGACAAAACACCGAATAACCCAAAGATACTTATGTTACATGCCTAGTATGGACATTCCTTTGTTTTCATGCAGTTCAGAAAACTCAGTGAAAAATACTCATATTTCTTGAACTGGGAACAAGATATTCAAGTGGATTTTTGTAAAATGTTTCGTTGACTGTTCTTTCTGTGACCACAAAGTAACCCTTACCCCCAAATACCTCTGAATTTCTTTTTCCAGGAAGGGGAAATGTCCTATCTGAATTTTTTTTTCAGAGAAGGGGAAATGTCCTATGGACATGTGTAAGTCCACGGAAGGTCTTCCCTTCCTGCATTGAGTGGACATCTTTTATTCAGAAGTCCACACTAGTTTTGTAAGGTTAGCACTCACCTCCTAGCTGTCTGGGTTTTCTGAATCCACACTGTGTGGAAGCATACACATGTCCTATCCAGTCTTCAAATGTCAAATTATGGAGGACCTGATGTTTTGATCCAATTTGCCTTTGAGAAAGATTCTGCTAGGATCAAAATGTCAGGCCCTCCATCTTTTGAGGATTTGTATTTTAGGTCCTTGTAGTCAGTATAAAGTAGTATGCAGCAAATTTTTTTTATTACAGCCTTTAAATGGAAATAAGTGGGCTTGAATTACTCTAAGTAAGCCATGTTGTGACCAACTTTTGTTCTTTCTTTGCAGGGATTCTTCATGGCTCTGTTCCATTGCTTCATGAGCGGTGAGGTAGGTCAGATACCAATCCTCTCAGCCAGAGCTATGTATGAAGAGAAAAGTGCCAGGCTTCAGATTTTGGAAACAAAATGGCTGTTCATTATGTGTACAGTAGAATGTGCAGCTATTGTATGCCAACTGTCCTTACGCACTGGCGCATACACCTGCCAGTTTGTTTCCAATAATAGTGACACTTATGTCGCAGCTATATATTTATATACAGCTCTGCTCTCAGCTACATTCAGGAGTCGGTCATTTCCATAAGAGTGCTTCCTTTTTGTTCCTTGGAATAAATCGCCAGCGGTTCCAGCTGTTGTTGAGAGATTGCTTTGAACGGATGGCAACAGCTGCACTTGTGATGCTGCAAAAGGACTGTCTGTAACCTTTGTAATTCTGTCTTGGTTACCCAAACAGGTGAACAGCGCCCTCAAGCAGAAGATCCGTAGGGTAAAGGAGAGTAGCCTGGGAGGAGCCTCCACCGTGGATTCGGTAAGACCGTTGTGATCCTTCTCATCTCTCTCTTTTATTCTTCGTGTGAAAATGAACTGTCCCAAACTTGCTCAGTACACAAATAGGAAAAACAAATCAAAAACTCGTTTCAAGACTGCGGTGTGCGTTTTTATGTGTTCATCCTTGGTGTGATTGTCAGCATCCCTAAGGAACTGGCCATCCTTTGTGAGCAACTTGCACTCTGAGTGAATTGACCAACGCCCCATTCGTGCGGCTTGAAAAGTGTGCTGAGAAGGGGTTCCGTAGGGCACTGTGCTTGGCATTGCCTAATCTCATGTCTGAAAACTGACCTTCCCATCCAACCTAGCTCCATCCTAAATGCCTCATGAATGCCGAAAAGGCCCCCCTGTACGAGGTGACCGTACCTCTGGACGCCGGAGTTGACATTCCGTACGATCTGTATGAATAGCTTGGTGAGTGTTCAGTCTCCAGCTGTAAGGATTGTGCTTTAAAACAGAAAGAAAGACCAAAAAAAAGACAAAAATGAAAGTTTATTGTGTACAATAATATAAATAAAATACTGGTGGTGCACATAACACGTCACTGTATTTTCACACTTTGTCCCACAAAAATCACCGGCATTTTCACGCTTTAATCGCTTTTTATTTTTAGTTGTGTGAGTGTATGTGTGCCACCTTGTTCTGTACACAAACCAGGCATTTTTCCACAAGTTGCTCAGCTCAAACACACCAGAAAACTAATCCCTCACTCACCGCACTGGAATCTTCCAAAAGCCCCGTCACTGGCATACAATGTCTTTCTGTGGGTGTTCTCCAATCAAAACCGGAAGTGTACTTGCGCATCCCAGGTTCAGTTTCCCTTACTGAAACTCCCACGGACGAGGGACAACAGGCTGACACCGGGATTTAGTATTTTGGGGAATTCTGTTCCCTTTTGGGTGCATTTAGCATGGAGCTTTGTCTGGCTTGGGAGTCCCCCTCCCGTAATCGTTGCAGACACTGAACAGTTTTAGGGACAGGGAAGAAACACTGTCCCTTACATTGCAGGAAAGCTTTATGGATGGTGGTGCTCAGTGCACAAAAGCCCATTCTGGAGCCATTGAGTTTTCTTACCATTAAAGATACAGGAGTGTGTAATTTGATGCATGCCAAGGGTGTATTGTTAGGGGGGCTAGAAAAGTAAATTTCCCTTTCTAAAAAGTAGTGCCAGTCATTCAAGTGAGGCGTCACGCAAAGTAGAAAGTCACTTAGTCGACCAAGCAAGCACCTGACAAATCAAACGAAACAAGCAAGGCTCCAGCACAGGTGCAGGCTGCATGCATGCACCCAAGCGAGTATGCCAGCAAGCATGTAGGCAAGGAACCAAAGCTCAGTAACCCAGCAATGTTGTCAAATATTAACCCAGAGGGTCATGATTTGCCCAAAACCACAAGCACTTGCTCCCTCACAACAATAAGCTAGGTCTTGAGTGACAGTTCAGACCTCACCTTTATAGAACGAACCGATCAAGGACTCCATAGGTTTCACAAATAACCGTGAACCTCACAACTGCAAGCAATTGAAAAACTAAAACTTGAAAATTGAAAAACTGACAAGTTTCCCTGCTACTCCTGTGAAGGCAATTTTCAAATGAAGCCAAGAAATAGGCTCTATTAGATAGATACCAAAATCCCCCAAAACTTGGCCGAAAGCAGTCATCATCTGAAGCTGGCCTACATGAGACGTTTGCCTTCACTCAAACCAAGTCAAATCAAGTTGGCATGATGGTTTGAAACTAAGGCTGTGCTCAATTAGAAAAGCTGCAGAAGACTTGTGACTTTCTGTGACCACTCTGTGAACGTTTGCATGAAATTGAATGTGTGTCCTACTGTCGTGCCCATGTGTCCACTTCTTTCCTGAGTGCTACTGCACATGCTTTCATTTTTTTCGCCCGGCGGCACAGGTTTACAGACAGTTGATACTATGGTTAGGTGGAAGTGAGCGAGGGATATCTCACATAATGATCATCATGTGCATTCGAATGTTATGGAGTAAGGGTCCCTACCAGGGGTTCCATGCCTCAGCAAACTGTGGAAAATTCTTATTGAGTTAGAAGATAACATGTCAAATTGGTTGCAATTCAAGCTGCATGGATCATCTCAAATGGAACAAATCAGCCGATCCGACTACCCACCGCTATTAACAAAGCAGGCTTTTTAAGCTGTTTTCTGAACAGAGTCGAAATATATTACGGAATTACCTGATTGAGAAGACGTTGAAGTGAGCTTTTGTCCTGTAAATAAAATATACTTCAGGGCTAACAATTTGGACAGCAAATATAAAAACCTGTCAAGAACTTGAAAGAGAAAAAAGAAAGATAAAAAACTACCCTCTGGGGTTTGAACCCAAGGACACCCACAATGCTAATCCTTTCCTTGCCTACCATGCTATGCTAGCCAGCCCGACCGACCTTTCTTTGCTCCATTTGTGCCCATGACCTCACATAATGACGCTGAAGATAACTCAGGTAATACCATTGTATATTTAGGCCCTGTCCTGAGCAGGGGTTATTCTCCATAAAAGCCTCACTTACCAACGGTGGTGGCTAGTCAGATTGAACAAACAGCTACACAATCACGGTGTGAAATGTCCGGCTTGTGCTGGTTTGAGCTGGCTTGGAAATGCACAGAAGCAGTGGTTCCTGCTGAAAATGGCACTGAGGTGCCCTCTCCTTGCAGCAAGTGTTGCGTTTTCACTGCTTCAAGAGGGTGGCATATCTGCACAGGCCTACAAGACTGAAATAGATTGAGAAAGAAAGGACTGCAGTCGTAACCAGTAGAGTCCACTTTGTCTTTCCTGAGATGCTGTCACCAGTGTTGTAGTCGAGATCATTAGGAGACATTTCACAAGTCCATGCACAAGACAGTTCAGAAGACAAGTCACAAGTAACAGGGTGAACAATGACAGCAAAACGAGGTCACGTGTTGGTCTAGTAATGTTTAATGAGGTCTTGTGTTGGTCTTAAGAGGTATTGATTACAACACTGAGTGCTGGGTGATGCACAGGCACGGTTCTGTGGGTGGCTACGTGGGCTTTAGCCCCCAAACCTTCGTCTTGCCCCTCCCCCCCCAAAAAATTTGCAAAAATGAAAAAGCAGTAGTGAAAGTTGAAAAGGTGACGTCAACTACAAGTTCTAGAACTGTGCCCGCTGACGCAGTGCCCTGTTGTTGATGCATGGAGATTATATTGTTCGTTTCTTAAATAAGAAAACCCCACCTTTTTCAAAGAAAACGCACCCGCAAAAAAGTTTGCTCTATGTGGCAGTTTTTCAGCAGCTGTTTTAAAACAACAGACTAATGGGTACGGTCATTCTTAACTTTCAGTCACACAAGCCAGCAATGTTTACGAGTGGGATCAGGAAAGTGAAAGTGGCACCATCTCAAACAGATAACACCGATGACTTCTGAGGGGAAGGTTTGACCTTTAACGTTTGACCTCCACAGATATTTATACCAGAGTCAGAGATGTGATTAATCTAATGCTAAAAAAATATAAGACACATTCTTAAGTGTGTATGTGTAAATGGAATGATGATTTATTTTGTAGTCGTGCTTTTGAAAATGCCGCAGCTATGTTAAAATGTAATCAGTAGAATAGTGTTCATTCATACCAAAATTTACTATATGAAAGGAATATTGGGATTTTTGTATTTTGAAAGGATAATTAAAAATTGTTGTCGAAGGGAAGTTGTTGTTTCTTCGCCTCGCCCATTCTTTGCACCAATCTACAGTCCTCGTCCGTTCTCTATGACTTAATGGTTTTGCATCCGATTCCTTGGAAGAGTACATATTCATCCACACAAGGGACTACTTTTCTTATTCTGATGCGTCGCCAACAGTACCAGCACTGTTGCCTTCGCCACTGCTGAAATTAATAGAATTAGTCCGTCGAATCCAAGCCACACTACACAAGTTTAGGATTTCTTTTGCCATATCTTGTAACAGAAAACGTTTCATTTTATGTAAAATATGAACAATTCGACTATATCCTAACTTTGAGTGTGTATAAAATTTAAAGGATCATTTATTGCTATTTAGATTTGCAAAAGTATTTAGCACAATTTGTAAATACACCTTAAGGCTGACAGTGAATACTGTGATATATAGATCTGTCGGTGAAAGTTACAAAGCTTTCACCTTACGATCATGCGCGCCGCTGTACTGACTTTTTGCTAGTGTAAATGTTTTGCCGTTACGATCCACTTTGGCAACAAAATGTTCAAAACTGATCGTCAATATATCGTCATTTGAAATTTTTCATTAGTACATATTACGTTTTGAAATATCACTCTACGCATTACACATACTTGAGTACAGTTCCACTGGGTTTTACACCCTAAGAAATCCCTTGTCGTCTAAAGTTGTGGTGTATGAAAGAATTTTGTAATATCTGTTATAAATAATTGGCGTTCTTTCCTTGAGTAAGTACTTTACCTACGTATTGCCACTGGACATGTTAACGTTTTACGCAGTTTCCTCCGAAGAAAATTGACATTTAAAGAAAACGGTAGGTCCTATATTTTGTAATATTGGTGTAAAAGGTGCGCAAAACCTCACGTCCAAAAAATACGTGAATTATTAATTGGTTGTAGAAGTGTTGCATTGATATTTGGAGAAAATGCGAGCGAATATCGTGGTTCAAAACCTACTTACACGCAAATACAAACACGCATTGTGTGAAGATTGAACGCACGACAACCTTACGGCAGTATAATCTTCTTTTTAGTGGACTGTGTACTGCGTGTGCTTTTTAGACGATCTGTTATGTGAGTTTATCGCTTTGGTATTTCCCACATTGGAGAACTCTCGTCGGATTGGTCCAGAGCCTAAATCCAACTTTGACCAATCCTGTTCAGGGTGAAAATTGACACTTCCCGGGCCATACTGACATACAGTAATGTCGTTTTCACTGAGCAGTGTTTTTTCGATCGAGATAAAGATTCAGAAGTTTCTGATTTAGATTTTGGGTCAACATGGTTGAGAAGGTTTTTAGAATATGGGTGATAGAAATTATGTTATTGCACGGGATTATAGCTTGGTTCTTGAACGGTTTACTTTCCAGTTTTGGACGGCAACAAAAGAACAAAAACTAAATGAGCTGCCTACATGTATTGTGTTCCTTTAATTCGTCCTGGAGATGAATTCTTCTTCACCAAGTTGGCACAAATTTTGTAAACAGGAAAAAATATATTATTGTACGTTCGCTGTGTACAGAAAGGACTTACTTTAGATTCAATATAACTCAATTTTGAAAGTTGTCTAAATAATTTTTGCGAATGATTACCGTGCCTTTCGTGACGCAGATACCCTTTCTCAAGTTTTCAGAGTTCACGAATCACCCTATTTTCTTTGTGTTTATTGTTTTGTATGTTTAACAAAGGGAGCCACGTTAGGTTCAACTTCGTTAATGAATGATTGCCAGCCAGTGCCTTAATGATTATGTAGCAACAAGAATTGAGTAATTGCAACTGCACCGTTATTATAGATCACTACGCACTTAACGTCGATTGCTATGCACCATGTACCACTTAGTGCACGTCTACTTAAGCGCTTCAGTAGTGGCTTGGATGGCCGGTCTGTGGTATATGCCTATCACATGCAGTAGAGTCCAAAATGCCAGGCCAGTTAAAGGCTGATATTAAATGCACAGGGCAGATAAGTATTTTTGAGGGTATGAAGGTGATTTTTGCATAATTGCCATGTGGAAAGTTTTGTCTCGTTTTGGACTGACACGTCTTTGAAAAGGGAATTATAAAGATGTCTTGACCGTTACCCTAGATAACACATATATGTTTGAACAGTGATGCATAGCATTGCCTTCGAGTCTTAAGCACGCACCCGATGATTAAAATTGTCACTGTATTGACAAGATATAATTGTGCAAGTTGTGTCACTTTGTGAAGTATTTTTGGGGTTTTCAAATTGCAAATTGAGCCGCGTAAAGAGGGCACCGTCGCTTTTGCGCATGCCTCGAAATGAAGAAGCCAACCGTTTCATTTTTGAGTAGTTCCTCTGCATACTAGCTGCTAAGTAAAATGATGTGCTTTTGAAGACGCAGTAAATGCACCATAGGTGAAGATTGCCGCCATGGGCGTAAATCGCGGGCGATGGGGGTATATATCCCCCCCCCACTTTTAGAGATGGGGGTATGGACTTTTGAATCATCCCCTTCCTCCAAAATTTAAGCGGATCGTGAAGAATTTTTCGGACTTCCCAACGACTAAAATGCATTCAGTATTCTTTAAAAAAAAAGAAGGAAAAACAACTTTTAAAAGCCATGCCATTCTGATGTAAAATTCTGCATGAATTGAACTCACATTACTGCGGATGTATATCGATATCATGAACATCGACATCATAGCCTATAGAGTATTATGGAGTCACCCCCTTACTCAGCTTTCCAAATTTTCATGGCCGGGCAAATCATCTCCCACCTTCCCCATGCCCCCCAATTTCCGACACGAATTTACGCCACTGATTGCCGCTACAGAGGCCCAGTCGGATACTTGACTTCTCAAGCTGAGAATAAAAAATATGTGGCCGACCATTCCTACCACACGAGCCGTCAGTGTATGACCAGCATTGCTCTGTAATATTGCTCATTACAAAGTATGCTTTCAGGAGGAATAACAGTGACAGTTAAAACAAAATTAGCGTCCTCGGTATTCCCCTTACTTGAAATGAGGAACAATGAGAGCGTGTTCATAATTAGCGTTTCCTGGGTATAAGGCACTATCCACGACCGTATGAGATGATTATTGCTAGATGTACGCTAATTCAAAATTAGTACGGCGGTGACATTGTAAAAAAAACTCCTTTCCAGAAGATGGAATGAACTCCGTGTCTCATGGAAACAAATAAAACCAGGTGTTTGTAATTTTGCAATAGTCGGTGAGAATCATTGGTTGCTTTGGAGTAGAAGGTCAGCAGAAATCGATGAAAGACAGGGCAGGGATGGCAGGTTGCGACATTGAATAACAAGCAACGCAGACCACGGGCTTTCTGGGTCGACATTATCGTTAATGGAAACGTCTACAGGAATGGAACTTGACTTTATTCCAATTTCCAAAATACAATGGCCGTGCAAGGTGAAAAGGTTTTTCTCTCCGTGTTGCTGTGGTGCACCCTCTCGTTTTTGTCGGTGCGCGGGGACATGCTCCTCCGATCTGTGGGGTTTTCCCAGCCGGCGACTTCCAACGTGGCGCTGACGAACCACGTCCTGAAGAGCCTGCGCGGCGTGCGATCCACGGGACGATGCCTGGCTCACTGCCTGCCGTCGCCACTTTGCGTTGCCGTCAACTACAAGGAGGCGGCGGGCACATGCGAACTGAGCACTAGCAGGAAGGATGAGTATCCCGACGACTTGGTCAGTGAGGTTGGATGGCAATACTACGAGAAGGTGTTGCCTGTTGTGGAGAACCTTTTTTCGATACCAGTAAGATATATCCATTCAGTTTAACTCCTCGCTTATTCTTTTTATGAGGTGTAAATAGGTAGGCTGGAATAGGTTGGAATGGAAGTGAATGCTACACATGTATAGTCATTGCTCTAACTGGTGAATCAAAATTGAATATTGAATTTCTTTAGAAGACCAAGATATAATTTACTGTTAAAACCGCTCTTACTCTGCACAAGTCCAATAACAACGAAAGGCCAATTATACTAAAGGTAACGGAAGCCCTTATTCCCGAGACCCGCTTCGGACGTGTGCTTAATTCAAATAATCGACTGAAACATGAATTAGACGTTTGAAGCAAGCGACATTTGAAATAGGCCCAAGGGCTGTACATCTTATTCATTAGTTGCAAGAGCGTAGTGATACATAAAACATTCTCTTTCTGAACGCCCTCATGCAGTGCACATACTGAGAAGGGGAGAATTGTGATTTCGGTGCTGGATATTATAATAGAAAAATACCGAAAAGTGTTCATGGGACCTCCCGGAAATAATTTTTTACACTTGCAAAGAATGACGGGAAAGTAGATGGATTCTTACTTGCAGACAACAGCAAAAATGCCGACCTTAGAACCGACGACTAAAACTCCAACAACCGAAATGCCTACGACGACCGAGATACCTACAACCACCAGGATGTTTACTACCGAAATGTCCATGACGACCGAAATACCTACAACAACCAGGATGTTTACTACCGAAATGTCCATGACGACCGAAATACCTACAACAACCAGGATGTTTACTACCGAAATGTCCATGACGACCGAGATACCTACCACCGAAATGCTAATGACGACTGAAGAGACGACAACTGAAGCGCCAACAACTGTACACGTGACTACTGGTATGCTCTGTAATGATATTTTGTTCTAACTGCATGATAATGGCAACTTAACGCCAATTGTTATTTTCCAGCGCACTACACCTTCTTTACATCTTAAGAATATAAGAGTGTAATTAATGCCAATTAATATACGTAAATGGCCTGAATGATACATAAAAAGTCCAAGAACGTTGGAAGTGGTCAACTCTCAGTCCTACTAAGTTTCTTGCGTATAAATCTTAGTGCGGTATCTCCACCGGCATTGTTTATAGTGTTTTGTATCTATGTGTAATTAAGATATGTATTTTATACTCGATCTTATCACCGACAGATGGCCCATTGAAAATCATCTTCTTTTTAGCGACAAAGCTACCCTCTGAAACTAAAGTATTAATGTTATCATTTGCCACACTGTGAAATGCTGCCTTTTGTCCTATCCTGTCTCCTATTTGCATGAGTTTGCTGATATTCCATTCCACTGCATCTTTACTTTTTTTAACCAGAAAAGCCGCCCGTCGATTGCTGGGATATACACAGCAGTTCACCGACCAGCCCGAGTGGCGAGTACGCCGTATATCCGAAAGCTTGGGAGAACCAACTGTTAAAAGTGTATTGTGATATGACAACGGACCTTGGTGGATGGACGGTATGTAACAGTTTAACTGTGATAAGGTCTTTATGTCACGGCTACGGAAATAAATAAAACGTCAGGCTTTTATCGTCCAATAATATTTATCCAAACGTATTTATGTGTGTTAGAACCTTTCGATGTACCATCATCAAATCAATGCTTGAACCCCCCCCCAAAAAAAAACTATTATTTTTTCAATGAACAGCGATTATCAGTCGCTTTTCCTCCACAAAGTCAGAATTAAAATAATTTGTCCATTTGTCAGAATTCGTTATATGTCACCGAGGAAATAAATGTATCAAATATACTGGCTGATTTGATTTTTGGTTTCTTTTTGTGAAGAGAGCGGCCACTCTGTTCTGGTATTTTACCAGTTAGCGTTTCTCAAAGTCAGTGAACACAACTTCAAGGAAAGATTTCCGGTTAAAAAAAAAGTTTAAAGAGGTATGAATGGTCCCTGTATTATTACCGGTATGGATCGTGCGGCTTATCTTTCTTCTTTGAAGGTGTTTCAGAGGAGACTGGATTCATCGCAGAATTTCTACCTGGACTGGAACTCTTACAAGGTTGGATTTGGCGCCATTGGCGGTAGCTTCTGGCTTGGCAATGATGCTCTCAACGTCCTGACGAGCCAAGGTGCTTATCAGCTACGCATCGAGCTGGAGTCGTACGACTCGGTTAAAACCTTTGTGAAGTACGGCTACGTCAGTGTGGCGGACGAGGCTCGTAACTATAGACTCAACGTCACCAGCTTTTATGGTTCGTACACAGCAGGTGAGACTCAAAAATCACCATATTCTTCGTGAAAGACACAGCACGCCTATATAATTTTCACATTGAATTTGATTTTCCACCATAGCATCCAGGTATTTTCGTTTTGTTGAATCTACGCGGTAATCTAAATGGTTAAATCTACAAATTGTATTTTTGCATTTGTCTCGTGGTGCATATAGATGATGCATTGTCTGCCGACAGCGGCCAAGCCTTCACGACTAAGGACGTGGACAATGACAACGACGGTGACAGACAGTGCGCTCAGGCGTTGCAGTCGGCTTGGTGGTTCGGCTCTTGCGGCTACTGCCACCTGAACGGGCCCTACCAGGGCAGCGCCAGTGTGCCCAGCAGAGGGGTCGGGCTTATCTGGGGGCCCTGGCTCGGCTACTACGAGTCGCTGAAATTCACTGAGATGAAAATCCGACCGATTAGTGGTAAACACGTGAGGTCTATACTCGCAGCCCCCTTCCTTTGTTAAAATTCGATGCGTTGTCACCGTACACTTTACACAGGTCTATCGGCCTACACAGATATGAAAACCTTATAACGCTGACTATATTTAGCTAACAGATTTAAAAAAAAGTGACATGATTACGCTTTAGTTCATAACGCTGGCAAGAAAGTGTTCTATATCTTGTCAGTCCACCAAACTATAGTGCCAAGATGACGAGTGAAATTGTTCCATTTTAGACACCCTTTACAACCTGACAGATCGACAAGTTTCTGTCTCTATATGGGTTGAGCTAACGTTTTCTCATTTCGTTTAATTTGGTATCGAAGTTTGAAAGATTGAAAATAGGAAACATTCAGGAAATCGGTGCGAAAGTTAAAATGCCATGCCAAGGCCTATGACAGTATTTTGCAGTAATTTTTACAAGGCCTTCAAATGCTTCAAAATATGATAACTTAGTTTTTCCTCAACAAAGCAAATAACGGCACAAATCTCTTTCAAAATAAAAGAAACCTCGCAGTTTCAGAAGTAAAATGCAAGGAACAACCTTCGTCACGCAAAGTAGGTTTTTTGGGGGTGGGGTGGAAGTGAGCCCTAGATGAGCAAGAGAACTTGTGTTTTGTCTGATGACCTGTGGGTCTTTCTGTCGATACTCAGCACAACCCATTCCCAAAGACTGCTGGGACCTTTACCAGAGCGGACACTCCTCCAGCGGTGTCTATACCATCTACGTGACTGGCAGGCCCGAAGGATTGACGGTACTCTGCGACATGGAATTTGACGGTGGCGGGTGGACGGTACGGGTACCCTGTTGATCAGATGGCCATTTGGGCATAATTCACTGCAGTTGTTCTTCGGTTTTTCTTTCGTGAAATCAAATCGATTCGAATAATGTAAGTGACAAATACATACAAATACAATAGTAAGTATACAACAAGATGCAAAAGCAGACCTGAGGTTTGTAAAAACATTTGTGTTTATTATCTCACAGCCAGTGAGAGTTTGTCAACCACTGGCTGGTAAAACCTGTGAGTGTCAAGAATGGAACGATGACCTCTGTCAGTGTGATGAAATAAAACCTTTATTAGATTGCTTTTTTTTTTAGGTTAACTGGAGGTTTATTTACATACAGTCTGATGGAAGACCATATTTTGACACCATATATAGAAGTGAAAAACATCAATTGAAAACTTAGTTAAACCGACGTTGTTTTTAAAATTCAGACACTATTGCAGTGGTCAGACTGGGCATTATTATGTAACTGTTCTTATTTTGTTGATTTACAATATTAATCTTCTATATGGGTGTAAACCTCGAACGTTCGATCTATCAGAAATGCGTCTTTGGGGATATTAACTGTAAATCCACCTGATGATGTGATTTCCCCCTTCCAGACAATTCAGAAGCGCGAGATAGGCGACCTGGACTTCTACCGCGGCTGGGCTGACTACAAAGCCGGCTTTGGCACCGTGGACACCGAGTCGGATTTCTGGCTCGGCTTGGACGACATTCACCTTCTGACTAATCAGGATTCGTATCAAATTCGCATCATCTTCGTTAGCTGGGGAAACATATTTGGATACGCCAGGTACAGTATCCGATAAAAGGTGGAAAGTGTACAAAAGACAGCGTTGCTGAAAGCTGCAAACGGCAACTGATATTTCTAACGTCAGCGTTTAAAAAAAAGCTTTATTGTATTGTTTACTCACTTTGCTGTCACTATTTTCTCTTTTTTTTCTCATTCTTATTTTTCTCGCTCTTATTTTTTAGGTATAGTGAGTTTCGAATCAACAACGAAGCGGACAATTACCGATTAACTATTGGCGGGTATGCTGGTAATGCAGGTAAGACAAAAAAATACTCAGCTATAGTCTTACACACAAGGCCATCTTCACAGTTCAAAGGTGTTACGTGCAGCATCGTAATTGATCTTTTTGTTAGCAAAATGTTACTTTTTGGAAGCACAGTATTTGATTATTCTTCGAGGAGCAACAGGTGACTCTGGTGTTGGATGACGCTTGTCAGCGTCCATTTTCAATCCCTGCTCCCAGTGCGATGTCCACCGCCCTCCGCTTTTGCCGTAGTCAATGAGTCTGCTGGGGAACGGCAGTAAAAGCACACCGTACACAAGTTGGTGGCCTCTCGTCAAACTCAAACGAGAAGGCCGTTTTGGCACAATTCCTTAATAAAAAGTCACCTTCTCATCTACGACAGGCGATTCGCTGATAACCTATCACAATGGAATGCCGTGGTCAACTCTGGACAGGGACAACGACAAGGACGCCCGGCAGTGCGCGCAGGTCATGCGAGGTGCGTGGTGGTATAACAACTGCCAAACGTCCAACCTGAACGGGCCGTACGTGGAATATCCCGGCTACCTGAGTACCAACGGCCAAGGCATTATATGGAGCTCTTGGCCTGGACAAGACGACTCCCTGGCTAAGGTGCAGATGAAAATTAGACCAACCAACATTGGTTATTAAAATCGGATTAGACAAAATGAAGCGTTCTCTTAAGTTGCTGCGTGCTTCGTTGGTATTGGACGTCGTAGTTTTTGAAAAGAAAACATGTATATATTTAATATTTATCCAGCTGACTGATTGGTCACGTCCAAAACAGTAAACTTACGACTTCAAAATCTACTCAACCTTTGGGTAATTATTGCTTAAATGGTAAAATCTGCATTACTGGGACTTGCTTGAAAAAACCTTACATAAATGCCGCTTGCAAAAGCAGACAACAATCCCGCCAATTGATTCCCAGTGATAATAAGCACCATCTATTCCCCTTCCTAGTGGTATTAAATGGCCGCTACCACTGATGTACGTGCCGAGTTTCGAAACAACCTTGCGCTGAGTGGATGTTTGTGTACAAAACCTTGTGCGCTAAATTTAAGAAAAATTTTTGACACTCACTTGACACTGTGAACGAGATGCCTAATCCTTTGTTCTAGAACAAACTTTTCTTTTGTCGTTACAGTTGTGTTCACCTTTTTAAATTTTTGTATGCGCAGAATAAGCAGCTCTTTTTCTTACCGAAGTTTCATGACAATTTGCACAAGTTTGGGACTCGAAATCTTGTTAATATGAATTATATTCCGTTGCCGTTTTCTGAATACAGTAGTGCAATGACTGCAGTGCGGGTTTGGTACGAATAAAAAAAATCACTGAATCGTTACAGATTATTATGCCAGTTTATTCTGTTACGATCGTGAGAAAAATAACCAATGAAATCACTGCAACCTCTGCATTGGTACAAACGCCGATTAGTGACATCCAATCTTTATTAAAAAAGTTGTTTTTAATTTCCACAATCGATGGTTACTTTAATTCTCAATGTAGTCTTGGTCCTGTTTTTGATGTGACGTGTTTGCGGGTACTCACGACGTGGAGTTTGGGTCTTTGGCTTTGTCTTATATTTTATACAGTGTTCAAATCGAAATGGTCGATAAGCTCGAATTTATGGCTCCGCTTCTTAAAGGTCAAACAACTCGAAGTTTGTTTTTAGTAACTTTCGGATTGATCCATTGTTCGCCCATTGGTCTATTTTAGAAAGGTCAAACGGTAGTTGAACGTTACAGCATTGAAGTGTATAGACTGTTGTTATTTACATTACAGGTTTGTATAATGGCAAACAATTTAAATTGTGCGATAGCAGTTGAATCATTGAATGCTATAGTAATGGTTAGCAAGAAAAAATGTGATTTTGGAGGGGCCGAAAAGTAGGCTCTCGGCATCTGTCCGGTCAAGAGGACAAAGCTTTCTTTCTAAAAGGCCATCCAACCGGCGTAAAATCAAAATATGGGGGTAGGGGAGTAAAAAAAAAGGGCAATGATTGATTACAGGGCACTTTCTAGGGAAAATGTCTGGGGACTGGGGTGCACACTTTTTTTAGGGAGCTTCGGAAGCTGATGAGCTTGGAAAGTTAACACCCCTTTATACTCCAGTTCGCTAAATAATATATATATATATATATTAATATGTGACTGGAGGTGATACTGAATCTGCTTATAAAAATTGTGAATCAGTACTTAATGTTCTTCATAATTTATGTCGAGAGTCTCAATTCGAAGCTTGTTTAGGGGCGTGATTCTTGGGTTTCATGAACTTTCCCAAATAGAAATCATCAGGTAATTATGCTACAGCCAGTCTCCGCACACAAGCACCGCGGTATAGCAGTGACCGAAAGGGACTTTGATCCTTGGCGCAGTCCGCCAGGTTCCAAACCGAAGACGCAAATGGGTTTGTTGGTTTGTGCGCATTCCAATGGGTTGGAGAGAGCGTAGGCCTACGCTGCTTTCTGGACTAAGTGCTGGACTCATTTAATCAAACAAAAGACCACTTGTAACAAAGCCATCAAAGTAAACATGTTACAGTAAAAACCATGAAACCATTTTAACTAAATAATAATTAAACAATTCAGCCTAAAAGCCATGACATTTTGAACGCAACCATTGCCAACATAATTACATGATTATTGTTTACACAGGCCTACAAGCATTTCATTTGTCACGTTACATACAACAGAACACCCATATATTCTCATACAGTTAATTTGATATCACAGTAATGTTGGCTTTTTGCACCAATGGCTCGTTATTAATTGACAGTCCTTGAAATGCAACAATGGGAAGATAATTACCCCGCACGGCGATGACAGAAGTTCTGTCAATAATAACATCGATAGCCATAGCAACCGGTAACGGCTCACGGCTCGTCAGCTGAAGATAGTCACTTTTTCAACGAAACTGTGTTCGATATATACATGTATGTACACACAAGAAGTTTGGCAGACCTTGTTTTCGTGTAAAGTACGACATTCTCCATTAACCCGCGGGTTCCGCTCACTACGCCAGCTGTAGCCTACCAATTACCAGGAAACTCAATTTCACAGCTCGCCCTATGGTCTACATCTTATTGATATCGTCTTCACCACCGGTATCACCTTGGCAACGTACCCACCGCTTATTTGTCTACGAAAACCCTGTGGTGCAATCAGGTTATGTTTTCAAAAAGTGAGGTTTATTTTTTGTTCAAATTCTTATTTGTGACCTTCATTTCTTTCGAAGTTCGATATTTTTCTGTTCATTTTTTTGAGATATATTGTGTTGAAATTTGTTTATATGAATTGTGTTTTTTTTAAATGTTGTTTTTGTATTAACTTTGAGAAAAATTATGTCATAAAAACAAACTTCATTGTAAAATAAATTTCATAAAAAGATTTGTTTCCAAAACTAGAAAAAAATGCTTCTAAGTATAGATCTCATTAGAGCCAACAAAGGCATATCTCGAACAAACGAATTTCGAATGAAATGTATGTCGTAAAAACGAAGTTGAAAAATATACTTCTTAAACGAAATGGGAAAAATTATACTTCACCATTTGTTGACGGCAGTACCGGCTTTCGTAGCACACGGTGAATAGTGGAAATTGTGACTCTTCTGCAGGATATTGATTCATTAGCCTACTACTCCATGTACGGGCTTGTGCCATATACATGTAATAATAAAATAATAACAATAATAATATGAATTATTTATAAACGCTTTCCATGTCAACGACATCACAAAGCGCTGTACACTAAATACCGTTAAAAAAATTACAAGAAAGACAATTACTATATTATCAACAAGCTAAAAGCTGATACACGAGAAATACAAAACTTTCAAATTACACAATTACAATCAAATAAAATAAAAAGGCTTCCTAGTTAGCAAAATTGGACTATATTGCTGGAAAGTGATTCTGGAGGAGGTAAGTTTTTAAGCTGGTTTTAAAATGACTTAAACTATTAGGGCTGCTAAAGCCCTGAACCCCACCCCCGCGAAACCCATTTTATTCAGATTGCCACATGGATCATCCCATTTGTTGTTTGCACAGTGCGCAACCGATAGGTTTCATCATTTAACGCTGCTCACTGGTTTAAGACGCAAGTCTTCCCCCTTCAACTGACCAACCGGTAGTAATCAATATCTGGAGGCGGCTGCGCGCCCAAGGAGAAAGTGAATTAATTTTTTCCCTGGTTTCAGCGTCACGTATTGACTTGAAGGTCTCTGGTTTACCTCGTATGCTATTTTTCTTTCCATTCAGTGCTCTCAGCAAGCTGTTTCGTGTTGGACGAGGACAGAGAACACGTATTGCCCACTGGCCTTCCACTGACATGTTTCACGACAATGCTTTAACACGGACAATTTGATAAAAGCAATAAAAATGTGCTGCACGATGACCACAACCTTTTACTTTAGTTTGGACTGTAGTACTCAGAGCTACTTGGTTTGGTCAAAAGAACATCGGTTATGCGCCCATGAGCTTGTCCTCATGTACCATTAACCAGAACAGCAAACGCGTTGTTTTTCTTATCCGCCTTGGGCAAAAGTACACGTTGGTCAGGAATTGCTATTAGCCTTGCAATTTGAATGCTGAATACTTCAGTTTTTTGTCAGACCAATAGCAATGCTTTAGTAAAGAACCGTTCTAACAGAGATGCGGAAAAAACAAAGAGTTTACGTCTCCATGCAAAGCCTCTGTTGATCACAGTGTGCAGATTTATTTTTCAGTAGTTATCATCAGTAAATTTTGCGGCAATTTATTTTGAATCAATGGTTATTGTTTTAAATTCTTGAAAACTGAACAATTTATGGTGAAGTTATTGTCTGTAATAAAGAAGAAAAAGCCAAATATGCTATCAGCTCCTGCTTGATTTGTGCACGTATACGCCCGGCAGAATTCTGCCAAATTAAATACCTTTATACCTGCTACTCGTCCCTACGTTTGGAGGGCGTCTGTATGACGCCTGGAGACTACGTACGGGATGGGAACCAGTCCAGTCGGGAGTGTTCATTTTGTGTTGGTAGTGATGCGACCGTAACGCGTGCATATACTCGTTTGTGAACCAGCGAAGTGCACTTCCTACAAAAGAGCTAGTCTTAGTGGACACCATACCCAATGATTCTACGAATCAGGGTCCAGTATCACCCAATGTCCACTTGATCAAGACTGGAGGAAACCCTCTAGTGTTCCGGAAACTAAAGCTGAAATATTCCGAAGTCGTCCCGTCTATATTCGGCCTGATCGGAGGTACTGTTGATGTTTGTTTGTTCCCGGCCAGGTAGGTAGGCTAGCTGCTGAAGTGTAAACTCCCATAATGGCAGCTGTTGATCCTACAATATTTGACTTAAGGCTATACACTGAAATCAAAGGTTGCCTAGGTCGAAATGCCAGGCAAAATGCAGAATATAACTCTCTTCTGCTAATGCAGGCTTTCGTGCTGAAACATGCTCTCAGTTGGGACACACTTGCAGTATTGCGAACGAGATATATGGGAAAAGCCTCATTTTTTAGATGTTGCCCTGATAAAATCGAAAATATTTAAAACACCCGGGCTCTCAACTTCTGACCCCTGACCCTTGTGTCAATCTATTTATATCCGTGGGTGATGCCTGACATAAAGATTTTTTATCAAGAGTCGTCAGGGAATCTTGGGGCAGGGAACCAGACCAAAAAGAGCCTGCGTTTCTAGTGAAATTGCGCCCTCTCTTTGTCCAGCTGGATTCTCGTACTTTCACCTTGGTCGAGTTCGGGCTGCCTCGGTGTTCTTGACATGGGTTTCTTGTTCTCGCGCTCGAACGGTGGGAACACGACTCAAGAACACTGTTCTCGGAACAGGATCACACACCACCTTCTCGTCAGGGTTTTACAGGAACACACGGAAAAACTCGTGAGATTTTGATTTTTGAACAGATGCAAAAAGTAGAGAGATGGCTTCCAAAGCCATAGACAATGAGAAGTTTTGCAAAATTAACATTAATTATTTTCCGTAACACAGAAATGAATGTTCCTGTTTATATAAAAAAGAATTCTGCCCATCCAAACATTAACTCTCGAATAACATAGCCTACTTGGACACCGCCATGTTGCATGTTGCTTGTCACTAACTACCAGCGATACTACCGGTTGTTTGTTCCCGGCGTTCGAGCGGCCAACCCACGAACAACAAATCGAGCTGTTCGTGAACATACGGAACAAGCCGCCAGCGAACGCGGCCCTTATTATTTTGAACGTTCACACGTGCGGAAACAGACACACCATTTCACGTGCTCTTGTAGTGATTAGCGTATCCATAGATGCCCAAAAAATGAAATTAAACACGCGTACTGAGAAGTGTCTACCTGGGAAAAGTTGTGCGCGCAATACAGGCGTGTCACAATCTGCCCTGAGCTGAAGTGCACCCTCACCGGCGAAAGAAAGACAGATGGTACTAAGTTTTCCAACCGGGTTCTTGCATGTTTTAGGCGTGCACGCGATAAGACCATATTTATATTCCAGACTGATTTCATTGCACGTACTAGGCTCCGCGTCAAACGCGCATAACCTTGTGCACCAATGCAGCGAGTGCGTACCAAACGAGTGTCGATTTCATTTCAAAATACGCCCTCTTTTGTTCCTGCTCGGAGTGGATAGTGCACCTCCAAGAGTTAGCAACGCACTGGCCAATTATAATGCACGAAATTTGTCGACCCAATGCGCGTTTGGAAACGGTTGACACGTCTCGCGCATTGTGATTGGCCAACGCGTTGCAAACTCTTGGAGGCGCACCATTGTTAATCACTCGTAGTTCTGTTTGACGCCTCATTACATTGATAGAAAACATATTTTGCACAAGCTTTTGGTGGGCAGATTATGTACGGTAAATTCTATCCGCCCCGAGCAGAAGCAGCCCCTCATCGGTTGAAAAGAGCCTTATTAGTCGGAAGTGTTGTTTTTTTGATAGCGATGCGACCGTAAGGCGTGCATTTCTTCAAGTTAGTCGCTCGAGAACCAGCAAAGTTTAATTCCTGCCCAAAAAGCCTCCTCCCTAAGACTATTGCAGGCTCTCTTGGTCCACTGAGCTCGAGGCTCATAAGGAAAAGAATCATGCTTTTGCTGATTTAATTAGAAAATTCTCACACTACGTTGCCTTATTCACGTTTTAGCGCATCTATAAAAAAACGGAAACGTTTGCACGTATGTAGACAGTAAATGGTGCGCATTGTACACGTTTTTCATCGAGTTATTTATTCCACAGTGTTTTGATCTATGCCCCAATCAAACAACACGGTCACGCGCATGGGAACCAATACAATTTCAGAAGCTGCGAAAGTGTCGACTTTCCTCATAATTTATGCATGCCTTCATGGAGTGAGGTCAAGTCTCCCGTCTAAACACACTTGTAAGCCTGGTAGCCCAATGTTGTGAAACAGAACGTAGTTGTAGCAGAATGATTGACCTCGCTATCATGCTAAAAACCACTGTTGCATGAGCGCTACAAATAATTGCGTAGGCAAGGCGGGAGGCACGTTCAGTCAATCAACTTTGCCTACATCTTATTTACAGCAACTTTTGGGAACATGCTTCGGTGAAGTTTGACACATCTTTGTGGCAAATGTTTCCTGGCTTGGTGGATAGCTAAAAACAAGGTATTGATCGTCAGTCCGAATATTGAGGTCACTCTTGAAAGTAATGCGCATGTGCTAGCATCAAAGGTAGTACAAGGTAGTTTTCGAATATGCCCCAAACGCCATTTCAGTGATCGACATTTATATCGTCTGTGGCATTCGTCCAAATCATTGAGTGACAACTGACTTTGTTGAAACAGCAAAATGCAGTTCTGCGGCAGGAGCATTGCAGTCGTAACGGAACCAAAAAACTGGACGATGTAAACTTTAGTGGGTTACGTGATATATCAAGGCTTCGCCACAGGTAAAGGCGGACAGTATCGCCACCTGTTGTGTGCAGTTCGAATCATTTATGTTGATATGCACTGCATTACCATGTGGAGCGGTCTGATTATCCGCGCGTCGCTGGTCGTACTCTCGTGGTTTACCGTGTCCCTCCGCGCTGCTACCCCGTCTTGTGGCGGGTCATTCTCCCGCAGTGTTCCTTTGACCTGCCTATCTCCTAACCTTGCCTTGAGCAACCACTTGCTCAAGAGCTACACCAAGAGGTCCCCGGTTGTGTGTGTGGCCGCCTGCATCAAGGAAGACCGGTGCGTCTCCGTGAACTACGAGGGTGTGGGAGGCATCTGCGAATTGAACGAGAGCAGCAAGGATGCACACCCGGCAGACATGGAGATAAGAGATGGATGGCGACACTATGGCACATTGCCAGGAACAGTCCCGACCAAGGAGATATGCCCCATCGTAAGTACGCTTATACAAACGTAAAACCAAAATGTATCGGCAATGATATATAACTGGGGGGCACGGAAACTGACGATATCGAACAAAATTGAGTGACCCCGTCCAGAAAACGAGCCCCCCTCCCACAAAACAAGCCCCCCTCCCCTGCATATTGTACCCCAGTTGCGCCAGTATGTACTTCGCCAAGTTCTACCAAGTTGTAAACTTTCTTTTGAATGAATAATTTCGAGTAACAGAATAAGATTTGTTTTTGAATTGAGTAGACTAATTACCAAATAAAACAAAAACAGAAAATGCTGATTTTTTAAATGAATTTTTGTGATGTTACCGCAAACCATTATCAAAACAAGGCAAACTTTGTATGAAGTATGCACCTTCCATTTTGATACCTACACAGTTTTCGTCCACTGTTTAATTCTCAAAACCAACAGATATCAACTAAGAGTCCAGAAACCACCATGGATACAACTACCACTCCCTCAACAACCACCCAATCCACAACCTCCCAGCCCACGACCACTCAGGTAACAAGTCTTCAACCGTCAACCACTCGAACTACGACTATTCAACCGACAACTACTCAACCGACAACCACTCAAACAACGACTTTTATTCCGACCACGGCATTAATCACAACAGGTATTTTATTTATTGGCTCTTCATTTTTTCCAGTGCAGAAATTTTGCTACGCAAAGACGCCTCGGGTTGTGCGAAATCCTAACCAGTGCCTCGAAACATACATTTTCAACATTTGTATAATAGTATTTTTTTCAAGTTCATTTTACGAGATCTGCTTCAGAAACATTCTTTCTACTTTTTGAGAAGTCTTTTTTTTACGATATACAGTTTTCCGACAAAGGCGTTCTGAACAAAAATAAGTCGCAATGACTTATTATCTCATTTAAACAACTTATCCCGTTTGAGCAATTTTTTTGGTAAAGATAGGAACTGCATGTTTCTAGAAGACATATCTCGTAAAACGAACTTAAATTAACATCTCATAAACATTTACTTCGAAAACACATGCTTTATTGTTTGAAAGGTCTGCTTGATGGCATAGCATGGATTTCGTTGGTTTGTTTGCCAGGGAGTGATATGTTTAAACAACGCCGTTTAAAGTTCTGCACGAAGTTTAAAACATGAACATAACTGTGACAGAGGGGGTAATGGTGTTAATATAGAGGGTGAGCCTATTGGCGAAAGTTGATGATGCTGGTGATATTGATGGAACTAGTAATACAGTTCCCTGATTTGAGTGCTTTTTCCGGGGGGTATTCTCTTTTAATGTGGTCAGTTCCATGAAGGAATGATCTTTTTTTTTTTTAAATTAAGCTTCAGCTTGTCGTTGTTAGGTTTAACCACAAGGTTAAAAAAAAACGCACGCAGCTTTCCTACCAAGCGAACCGGTCGATTTGATCTGTGTACATTCCCGATGCAGCCGGGATAATACAGATCATTTTGGACGATCGAAAAACGGCTGCCATTCTGCACAGACCTTGGGGGTTCTTGACGCACAAGCAATAATTAAAACAGGCTATAGTGCCAGCTAATCAATAATAAGAGCGCGCTTTAGTCACTTTGAAGGGATATTTTTTGAGATAACATATTCAACAACGATAGCAACATACTGATCGAAACGTCCATCGTCAAGAAAACTACTTGTTCATGTCGAAACCTCCTTTTCTTTCCCTTTGAGATGGATTAGTTAACAATGTCATGGCGAAATTGTCATTTTGTTACTTTATCTTATTTTAGGTGCCTTTTCATGGATGTGTTTTTAGTGCGCGCTGTGGTCTGTATTAAAGCGTAAATTGTCGAGATTGTCCGTTTTGAATGAGCAGGAAAGAAGCGCGGTAAACATACAAGAAAAATTGCGGAAAGGTACCCATATAATTGACATCTGATTTGGCGTAGTTATTTCTGAATTCATATGTAGCAGCAGATATGGATATTTCATCTTCACTTTTTCCACTATATACGATTCTCATGACCCGGAAAAGAAAATACCATAGAAGGCAGAAAAATGAAACTTTGGCCTGTAACCGACACTGCAAACGTAGCATATTGATATAGCGATTATAATTATAATATTGTTGCTATGGTGCTGCGTACAAAATCAACAACTGTCCTCGATTATGATTCAGGAATGCGTTTGGCACAACGAGACTGCGCAATCCCATTTAAAAAATAGATCGTTGAATAAAACTCCAATTTGCACCCACTAGAGTGACCTTCAAGAACAAAATTATTATCTGATTTTGTGACCGAAGAATGACTTTCCTTTGGTCATATTTCTCAAATCAGTTTAAAGCTGTTCCACGAACTGTTTTCTCAATCGCTATACAACATTTAAAACAACCTCATTCATTTTTTTGAACTTGTTAAAGAGAAACCACCCCTTGACTGTTGGGATATACATGCAACTTCACCCGAACTTTCGAGCGGTGAGTACACTGTCTATCCAACAACGCGAGCAGGATCTTTGCAAGTCTATTGTGACATGGACACCGATGGCGGGGGGTGGACAGTGAGTATGGACTTGTAATGCGTTCAGTTGGAGCTAAAGTTGAACCTTATGCTAAGTGCGTTTACAGTAGAGGATAAGTGTCACATACCCTACAAGTTTTCTTTCGCAGCCTGTAGTCTTGGTTTCAAGACCTTCACATTCCTCCTTTAGTCTTGTAGACTCGTATGTCATGTCGTGCGTCGCGTATCACGCCTCCTGAAGCACGACTGTCTCCCTTTGCTTTGTGGTTTTTACAAAGGGCGTCATCGCTGTTTTCTTTCATTTCCGTCCTCCGCACTTGCAATTCATCAGTTTGAATAAGTTCTGCCATACTTTATTTTAAAAAAAAGGGGGGGGGGAAGGAGCAAATAGAAAATCGTGTGTCTGCCAAGGGTAATCTGCCAAGGGCAATCTCCATTTCACCCCGGCCTGAGTACATTCTGCTTTTTCTGGAGGGGAGAACGTTAGGATGTAATCTACCTTGTTCTTACAGAGTGAAACGTAAAACATGAACCGAGGTGGAATGTTACTATTTGTTCCTTCTCTTATTTCTGGGGGGGGCGGGACACTGGGGCACAGAGTCTTAACAACGGGGAATTAACCTCTGCCTGTTCTCAATGATTAAGGTAAATCATTGGTTACTGCATGAGGGAGAAAATCTCAGCGAATTATGCAAAGGGCGGGTCCAGAACCATTTTCGGGGGGGGGGAATGGGATGCAAAAATTGGACTTTTGATGTAGCCTTTTGAGGCCTCCCAGAAGGTCGAGGCTACGTTTGGGGCGCTTTACACAGTTATGGAAGGAAGGGAAATAAACTAAACCGAAAAATAATCTCTCTCTTATTCTCTTATTATTTTTCAAGAAAATATACTTGTTGTTTTTGCTTTAATGGGAGGCGTGGTCCTTGTTGGTCCCCCCGATCTAGCCCTTTTGGCTTTTGAATTGCAAGGTATTTCAGAGGCGAGTGTCCAACAGCCAGGATTTCTACCAGAACTGGGCCGCCTACAAGGCAGGCTTCGGCGACCTATCCACCAACTTCTGGCTGGGCAACGACGCTCTTCACGAGCTGACCGCGCAACGAGACTACGAGCTACGGATCGAACTGCAGTCATTCTCGGCGATCTCCACCTACGCCAAGTACGGGCTGTTCCAGGTCGCTGACGAGGCCGACAAGTACCGGCTGAACCTGGGGAACTTCTACGGCTCCTACACGGCAGGTGAGCACGTTCGTTGCTGGCCTGATAATTTCAGAGACTTCTTTAATTGTTCTGTTTTCAGTTTTCTTGGTGCGTGGACCCATTAAAAAAAATACAACAGAGATGCGCACAATAAGTTCACAGAACGTCTCACACCCTCTACCTTTTTACTAGACATTGAGGCAATCGTTTATACAAAGTTAACTTTTTCGGTGGTATTTGTATTTTTTTTTTACTTTATCGAAAGCGCTGCTGAAGGGGGCACGTGAAAATCGTGCCTGTTCACTTTTTCTTGCCAAATCTTGCATCTAGGTAGGACTTTGGGCTATAGAGTGCTGCATGCATTCCTACATGCGCGAAAGTAAAGTTTGTTCATCTCAATAAGAGGAAGATACTGCCAAGGTTAGGCTATATTAAGGCTTCATGCTTGGCGCAAAAGCGAACACAAACGCGAATTTTTGACGTCGAATATATTATTCGGCGCTGCCAATTCGCAAAGTTGAGCATATTTCATGCAACTGGAGCGCAAGTTTGTTGCAGATCTTTCGGGCCGTCAGTTTTGCTTCGCTTTCATTTGCCTGAAGTGTGAACGGGTCTTTACCCGACTTGTGACACTCCCTGTTCTAGACGACTCACTGACCTACCACAACGGCATGTCTTTCTCCACACTGGACCAAGACAACGACGTCGACCTGAGTCGGCACTGTGCCCAGTCCTTTCGCGGTGCCTGGTGGTATCAGAACTGCTTCGCATCCAACCTGAACGGGCCCTTCATCAACACTGAGAGCGTCTCCCAAAAGGGCCAGGGTATAATATGGGGGGCTTGGCTGACCATCTACAATTCGCTGAAATTCGCTGAGATGAAGTTGCGCCCCGTGTCAGGTATGCAAGACAGCGTCTCAGTGACAATCATTTAACTTTATTTCCCGTTTATACCTCACCCAAATCTTCTCTGATGAGTCGAAATGGACGATTTATCTGTACGTTTACGATTGTCCTCGATCAAAGCGGCATTACCCACATCCTCGTGGTATTTAAGACTACTTTGACACGTTAAAAGTGCATTGGTAGTTACTGTTGAAGACCAAATAAGTACTGGCTGTGATGTTCAAGGGTTTCTTCGAAAACTGCGACGCAGACCGAAAAAGCGCTAATAACTGAACAATACAGCTGTACAAGAATCAAGTACTACGTGCTTTGAGCAAAATTAATACTCAGGGTCACAAAAGCCACTTCATAGTGACATTGGGCTAGGCATTTCTTGTCCAGTTAATATAAGCAAGGCTTCTCCATCAAAACAGCCAGCTAATAAGCCTGGCGGTGACAAATTATAGCCTCTCGACATTGAAATTACTGAGTTCATTTCGCGGAATAAAAAATAACACGAAGCGAACCGTGGTTCATCTTACGGAAATGGCCCTTTTTTCGACCTGAAAATAAAAGGAGGGAAACAAAGAAAGACGATTCTGAAACCCTGAAACACTACAGCCATTTGGAAAAGCTTAGGACCACCCATACAAAATGCATTAACCTGAAGAAAAACCAAACTTAAACCAATCAATCATGGCAACTTATGTTTATTTTCAATGTGTAACCTTAGTATCTTGGTTAAACAGGTATTATGACTACACTTTTACGGTCTGAAATGTTAACAGTCTGATAGGGCCTATTTAGTGTACCCTCCTTTATTTCTGATTACTTAGACTAGCTTTTGTTTAACCCCTGCTTCCTTACAGACAAAATGTTATACAAAGCCCGCCTTTGCAAAAAATTCATTTAAATGGGTATATAGCACTATACTGGTGTTATGCACCGCTGTAAAAACACATTGAGTAATCATTCAGTGAGACAAAGTAATGCATGCCCAGTGACAGAAGCTTTTGCAAATGACTGTGACTCCCGAGTCCCTTATACTATCTAGTTCACCATGTACGCCACTTATAGTTCTCTTCATTCGTATTTCATGTCAACTTCGTTACACGATTATTAAGGGCACTGTGTCGATGAGAAGCCTGCAAGAGAGTAATTAGCTCATATCTCTGTTCTTCTAAACTTTTCCAGCTCAATCAGGACCTAAGGATTGTTGGGACCACTATACACAGGGACAGACAGTCAGTGGGTTATACAACATTCACGTGACGGGAAAGGTGGAGGCTTTGCAGGTGTACTGTGATATGGACGACGTTGGTGGAGGGTGGACAGTAAGTCTCCGTACATATACGGTTTTGCGAAGGCAGGTAACTGAGGAACCAGACTTGGATTCAACCTCGATTCAAGATCCAAAGCCAAAACCAGAACTAGAATGAAAATCACACCCGTGTGATTTAGACCCAATGAAAAACGACGGCCTACCTTTGGGCTCCGAGTCTGCCCTGGGTCTATATTCAGACCTTGCCCTATACGCAAAACCCGACCCGGTCCAAGATGCAGGACAAGACGCAGTCTTAGATCCAGAACAGGACCCACACCTTGATCCAGAACCACTGAGACATAGTTTTAGATTCAGAACCAGAACTGCCATCGATCCAGAGCCACACTACCGAAACTCTGTTTAGTAATTAAACACTTCCTCCTTGCAAACATGTAGACGTGCTAAATTTTGAGAGCATGATACCAGAAAAAAAGAGCTTGAATCAGACTTATAGTTGTGGTACAGTCTGCGTAGGCCCCCTATAGATTACAACATTGTCAAAGGCCCAATTAAGAGCTGCCCGGCTGTTCTGTTCCACTAGCAGTGGGTGTTAAAGTCCATTCATGAAATTGCTCGTGAATACATCTCATGATTTAGTCATCCCCTTCACATGTCTTTCGGAAAACCTCTTACCTTTATTATTAATGTGTGACCATAGGTGATTCAACGTCGAGTAGATGGCTCAGGGGATTTCTATCTTGACTGGGCTGATTACAAGGCAGGATTTGGCGACCACAGTAGCGAATTTTGGTTCGGCAATGACAACCTCCATCTCCTGACCAATCAGGCCTCGTATCAACTCACCGTGAAGCTGGAAAGATGGAATTCTGTGATAAAATATGCAAAGTAATGGGAGACTTCGAGACTTTGGAAGCGGCAAACACGCCGGTCCTTTTAACCAGTTCTGAGCATGCGCCCTTTGTCCTAGGCATACTGTCCATTTTCTTAGTATACGCACAGGCAGTCGCGTATCCAGCGGGGGACTCCCCCCCCGACGGATTTTCTTTTCTTGTTTTACAAAGAATAATTCTAAGATGAGTAGGAAAGTAATCGGAACATTTTTTAAAGCAAATATTAGCACCAAAACCCTAAGAAAACAACACCTGCAAATAAAATCATGGGTGTTGGGACGATGAGTAAGGCTTTTGATTTATTCTCTCCAAAATCATGTTGAATGAGCTCGAATATGCATTTACTTTCGAAATTGCCCCCCACACACTAAAAGCTGGATACGCCACAGTGCGTAGAACCGGTATGTCTGCTGCCATCAGCGTCCCCAAGTCTCCCGTATGCATTAAGCAAAGTCTTTGAAATGCATAGCCTTAGCATTAAATGGAACACTTCTATTATCATCGTTTGTGGAGTTAAACCGCGAGTCAACTTGAAGATTTTATTTCCAGGGTAGGGACAATAGGGCTTTGACTCAAAAGTTACCTAAACAAGACTAAACACCCAAGAATAGGACCTTGCCGGCTGCAATGGCTTCATAAAAGGCGAAGCTAAAAATCACCTCCAAACCTTCATTTTTACAGTTAGGAAAAAGGTTTCATTAAAACACATGCAAGAGAATATCCCTCACGCATGCCAGTTCAACAGACGTGCACAAATAAAGAACATTTTGCTTTTTGTATTTCAGCTATGAACAATTCTCAATAGCAAACGAGACCGATTTGTATCGTCTGTCGGTCAGTGGTTTCTTTGGAAGTTCGGGTATTGGTGAGTATAATTACATTCTACACAGAGTAGGCTAGTCAACGACATTTACTCTGAAAATATCTGAACACGTGACATGTTTTGAATCATTGCATTCGACTATACTGACTGCTATTTTAATGGGGTCGTCTGTCGTAAAATTCCATGTTACAGGGTGCTGACAACAGCTACATTTTATTATATGAGACTCACCTAATGAGACAGCATAGCGAGGCCTACTAGGGCTGAAAATATTGCATCAATGCATCAATCAATTAAGCAGTTTCCCTCCAAGAAAACAATATTTCAAACTTGACCTCGTCAAAGAGTGAAACGTCTGAAAAACATTCTTCAATTTGCCCCCTCTTATGGCAGGTGACTCCATGAATTATCACAATGGGATGGTTTGGTCCACACGAGATCGCGACAATGACAACGACGAAGTCCGCCATTGCGCCCAGAACAAAGAGGGAGCGTGGTGGTATGACGCATGTGAGACGTGTAACCTGAACGGTCCTTACGTGCCCTACCCGGGCACTCTTTCGATCGAAACAAGAGGCAGGGGGATCGTCTGGGGTACGTGGCTATTCCAAGAGTACTCGTTCCCGAAAGCGGAGATGAAGGTCCGACCGACACACGTGGGTTTCTCGCTGTAGCGGAAGTGACGGCCAGTAAAGACAGCGGGCCTAATGGGAGGGCTGTATGTGTCGGGTGCCCATACGTTTTTTTCTTGCCTCTGTCTTGAATTCTGTATTTAATCACATGACTGGGTGATAAAAACGCATAATTATTACATCGTAATATCATAGTCCCCTCCCCACAATCCAAACTACAATCCAAACCACATTACAAGGACTGCTTATACCAGACAACTCGTATTCAGTGGTGTCTGTTATACTTTCGTTGATAATATTGAACTTCAGTGGAACTTAGCAGCGAATTGGCACAAAACGCGATCAGCTATCGCAAAACTGTAAATATTTGACGATCGAACGATTAAAGTCCATTTTAGGTTCATTTAAACTTCGTTTTTAGATATAAGTTCCCTTACATATTGTCTCCCGAGATTAAAACAAACATGCAGGTTCTCCGTGTGAAACGGATTTTAAAAATAAAGATTGTACTTTAGAGGAAACCATGACTGCAACCAACGCAGTGAACCCAACGGCGCTGCACATAGCCCGTCCACGTCAACGAGCCGAGCAACGGATACAGTCTAATTATACAGAACCATGCAAGCTTTCGTCATCTGGATAAAATCCACGACACTTCGGGTGAAGAAAATATTGCAAAGAATTCAAACCAGAGGTATACCAAAAATGAGTGACCGCTATGAGGTTAGCACCCTCTAAGGGACGGCACTCCCTGGCCTCACCTCGGATGCTATCAGTCCCTTGGATGTCAAACATCGTATCCATCACCAGCCACCATGCATCACCAGTCATTTCTTTTTTCTCAAATTATTATGCAACAGTGTCTTCGTAATTGCGTAGTGATTAGTATACACTATTACTAATACTTATATCTGCATAAAAACAGAAAGATGTAAGACATTAGAAGAATTACAGATATTATTAATATAATTAATGAATAATAATGTCCTCATTGGGGGACTCCACGAGTGATGGTCTGCTCTGAAGATAGACGAGAATTGTAATAAACAAACTGCCTTCTTTTCATATGTAACTCCTAAACCAGTCCAAGGCCAACACTCGTACACCGAGATGGTCAAGTTTATTAAGAAGGATATGATGATTTAGAGTGTCAAAAGCCCTGGGCAGGTCCAGGAAAATACCGATAATCTTGCTAAAGATGTCGAGAATAGCAAACTTCGTATAGAGTGGTTAGCTCTAAAACCATATTGAGATTTGGACGACAAACCGTGCTTATCAATAAGTGCATGTACATGTAATCAAACAGTTAAAAACTAGCTTCTCCTAAAAAAAAAACAAACAAAAAAAAAAAACCCAAAAAACAGGTAGAATAGTAGTGGGTCTTGTACTAGTTCGTGTCTACTATACTACTCTTATAAATTGGAACCACTTGACCAATTTTCAGTTCATTAATTGGAAAGATCGTTCAGAGATCGACTGGTTAAATAGCAAAGCAAGTGGTTAAGCTGGAGCATTCTTTTTTTATATAAATTAATCAAACAATGAAGTAACCCAAGCCATCCCAGCCTTGGGCTTTACCAGGATGGGATTACATTCCGATACATTCAGTTTCAGCTTGCGTATCGGGATTTAAAGATAAAGAATGTGGACATCTGTCTCTGAGGAAGGAGTGATGAGAACATATATCGGGGACCCTCAGTGAATCGAGGACCATTGCACTTCATTCTTCAAGGTTCCCGATTGCAAAAACAAACCCACAAAATGTAGACCTCTCCCTTTCCACTTAATTCAAGCGTACCTTACGCATTTTGAACAGTATAGGGGATCAGTCACATTAGCAGTGTTCTAACACCCAAATCATTTTATATTTCCAGTAAGAACAAGCATGCAGGCTGTAATTTAAATGAAAAGGTAGGTCCATGTACGATCTGACGATCTTTGCATTAAAAATGGACAAAACAATTTAACCTGCAAGTTTGGATATTAGAATGGACATTGATTTTTATCTGGAAATAGAACCCCCGATATCAATCCAGTTCGAGCCTCCGTACTGATGCACTCGAACTTAAAGCACGGGGTATGGAGTGCTCAAGGCATAGAGAACGTGGAAGACAACCAGGGAAACACTGATAACGTGACAGGACTATGTAGCCCCCTTTGTACCGTACTCTCCCTTTTGGTAGAGATCCTCAGTATCAAATGGTCAGTCTTGTTGCGGTTCAATATGGAATATGCCTGGCTAGTTATCTTTTAAAAAATCGCTTTCCTTTAAAATTTAGAATGGTATGAAATCTGATCCTTTTCTCTTGTACTGTTGAATATCCACAGTCTTCACTCACTTTACGCAATACTGTCAATTGAGCATTGTTCTGCCCAATGCGCACATGAGCCCCGTTATTGGTTTTTTAAAGGAAATGAATGCTTTGGACAAGAGTGCAAGACTGTATTTTGGTGAAAGGAGGATGAAACACGTACTTAAAAGTACTGCAGGGACTCGCCTCATGGGTGAGTAGGAAAGAAATTAACAGGCATATTTATTTATCAATAATTAGCACCAGAACCCGAAGAAAATAACACCAGCAAATAAGAGTAAGGATGGTGTGACCGTGGGTAAGGCTTTTTTTCTCTACAACATCATGTTGAATGAGCCCGAAGCCGTATTCGCTTTTGAACTTGCCTCCCCCACACCGAAAGCTAGATACGGCGCTGTACATCAGTATTATAATGTCTAAAGGCAGCCTTTGTAAAAAAAGAATCTGACCTTTAAGTTAAGGGTAATGATCTTTAGACTGAATGAAACTTTCTCCCAAGCGTCTGTGGATACCCACCAACGGGCAATGTGGACGGATACTGAAAGTTGTTGAAGTAAGTTTAAAATCACACTTGTCTCAGTAGAAGGCCTGAAAGACTTTCATTTCCCTAATTTTGAGAAATGGGGTAATTTTGTTTTTGTCTACCGCAGTTACTATTCGGCAACTTCAGGAAGTTCAGGATGAGATTATCGAGTCTACACCAACCCAAAACTAAGAGCAGAGGAGGCCACTCAACTCGCCAGCAATAAACTCGGAAGTGTACAAAAATTCATTCTTTCCCGTACAATTAAAGAATGGAATCGTCTCCACACTACTATAGTCACACACAAACAGACTAAATTTTAGACAGTTTTTTTCAAAAAAAATTTGTCATAAGTCCATCCTCCGCCACCTTAAGGTAAAATAGTACTGTGTTTTGGCGGAGCTGCAACCGCAAATCAGAGGGGGACAGGGACAGCCATTTGGAATGGCGCCACCAATTGGTGAGTTAATACCATTGAGGGCGGATCGAAAATAGCAATTCCGACGGCTGTTATTAGTTAAATTACTGTTACTTCGTTAAATAAAGATCAGCGGTATTTCGGGGGAACAGCAAGAGAGGAATGCCGTTCTTGTAATTATAAACCACGCAACAAAACGTTTAGAAAGTGTTTTTAAGCTTTGCATGTGAATGAGTTTACGTAGGAATTAGTTATGGGGCATCTGCAAGCCATGCAGTGCTTAAGTCATTTGAGGCAAGGGCAGCGCGGACATCCGCCGGATTCTCGCAAAATGACAGGTACTGAGCCGGTGAAAACAGCGATCTTGGCGACGTACGCATGCAACAGCCATCAGAGAATCTTTTCTTTGATCTGTATGTACGTACGCGCGCGCGCTCGTTGCAGTTGTTTTCATCGACCGCGGTGTCATGCCGCCGCTACCGACCCCGGCGTAAATTTTTGTGAAACTCCCGGATGTCCGCGCTGCCCCATATTACTTATTAGATATAATGATGCCCTATAGTTTTTTATTTTATTGTTATTTTTTAAAATGCTTTACTGAAATTAACAGATTCATGTCTGCCTCTTATTTTCTGAAACTTATGGAAGTGAAAATGAGTGGCTACTGGTTTGATCTCTTAGTCATTTTAACCCAGCTAACCAAATGATATATACATAAAATAGCCGTTGAGCTTGTGATCAAATTTTCCCGCGATGACCTGAGGTCTGTGGTAAAATTGCATGTACATGTTATGTAGGCTTATCCGAAGGTTTGTGATCAGACGTGATTAAATCGGGGAAGCAAGGTATAGGTTAAAATAAATGACGTGACGCCTAGCCAAGAACCCTACAACTAGTCGTAGAAAGCTTACGTTTACACAGTTATAGGTAAGAAGTCAGTTCAAACATGATCTGGTTTTTGTTCTATAAACTATGGTGCGAAGCGTTAGGCCCCCTACTCTTTGTTGGCTTCCCCTGTGTCTGGAATGTCCTACCTCTCAAAACCACCAACACTAGCAACAGTATCCTCCGTGGTCTCAACATGCTCAACTCTTGTTTAAACAATCTCAGATCACAATGGTGAACCGATAAATTTGTCTTAGGGTCTGAAATCCATTCAAAACCGTGTCCATACTTTGTTCATACCGGCCCCTAGCCTACGTGTTGTTGGAGAGCGAGCCCCAGGGCCAGACACACGAGCCATGTCTGACTTAATAATAAACATGACAAAAAGATCATATTGTACCTTTCTTGGAAAAAAAAATCAGTTTGACTTAAACGTTGCACACTGTTCAGTGATAGATGTTACCTGTACTGTAGTTACTTACAGAAAATACAAGATTTATAAAACACTTGTGTAGATAGCCATGTACAAATGTCCATAAACACATTTTGGCTGTTTTGATTGTGCCATCACAGCTATATGTGTAGCCAAATATCATACCTGCCTTCTTGGGGAAGTTAGATGTCATATGGGGAGGTTTATTCACCTTATATCCTCATTAAAATGGTGAATTTCTTGAGCATTTTGCCCATCCACATTACAGAAAATCAGCAGCATGTACTCTCAATAACTGTCAGCTGTGTGATAGCTTGACCAATCGCAGTTTAGCTCCAATCATTTCCTTTTGTTTTCCTATGACCCACAGATGAAAGCCGCACTGCGAATGGGCCAATTTGCTTCTATTCCAACCACCAATCATAGTTCAGCTTTCATTTGGGTTGACATGTCCGGACGTGTCGACCAGCAGTGTACGTTTGGAAAGGGACAACACATTTTATGCATTGTGATTTTGCCATTGCAAACTCTTGGTGGCATATTTTTGTGAAATGCCCCAATTGAATGTCATTTTTGTTTGTTATTCTGGCAGCGCATGTGGGCTTAAAAAGATTTCGGTGAGGAAGAAGTGAGGCTGAGAACATGTTTGAGGCCGTGAAAATTAGGATTTTGGATTTGCGCATATGGAAATTTTTCAGATGATGAGAGGCTTATTTCATTTTCGTTATTCGTTTAGCAATATTAATTAGTATGCGTCAAGACTTAAAGAGAGACTCCAATTGTTGAATTGTGGGAGGGGGGAGGACTAGGACTATCAAATGACCAATCAGATGAGGGGATAGAAACAGTGCACAATACAAGTAGAGTGCTTGGTACATGTATTCTGCTAAATATAACTGGGGAACCCCCCAAACAACCTACACTGTGCTTGTGCTAGCCTTGGTTTCTAGCATGTCATCACACGTGCAAAGCGCAGTATAATATGTGGCAATATCACTTAGTTTTTCATTTCTGTGCAACTAAATGGAGTTTGTGTCATAAAAAAAGTGCTACTGAGAATAGCGCTTTGGGGGACACTTTGTCACAAATCTCATGTCCCCCCCAATTCAGTAATCATGTTTGTACTGGATGCATGTACGTAGACTATGTGCCAGCTGTCTTGAATTGAAATTGAGTGTTCAGAATACATGTAATTCAAAATTTGTGGTTAATTATACCTAAATGTTTTAAGCCACATTTGAAAAAAATCAACCCAAAGTGACTTTTAGAACACAAAATTTTCTGGTGCCATCCCATTTAACAGATTATGTTGAATATGATAGATTCAGTAAAGGAGATAAAAATCGGCTTCCTTGTGAATAAGGTTTCATTTACATGTATGTTAACAGAAGCTCTGCTTATTTCTTCAGACAGTAAGCAGTAGGCACAGCAAAAGTAACTCTGACCTTATGGGAAATGTTTGCTGAACTTACATACAGTGTACATGTACATCTCTGTACGTGTGCAACCATGAGCACAACCATGCCAAGTGCTGTCATGAAATAGTGTGTACAATTAGCAACTTTTTATGCTAAAGTAAGTTGAACTTTTTGCTAACTGTGAAGCAGCTCAGTGAAATTGGGTCCCGGCTTTTGGCTTGGGTACAAAGAAGAAGAAAAACACTCAAGGCACACAGGGTAGGCCTCAAGTCAAATCAGTTTGTACTATAAAGGCCCAAAGTCAACTTGCTTGAATTGTAACTGGCCCATGTTTTTTCAAACATTAAGTTTTTTTTTGGGGGGGGTTTCAGGCAATTCAAACTGATCCAAAATTTCAAAACCAAATGGAAATCACACCAGGCTTTAACATCAGAACTAGTTGAATTTTTTTTGCAAATGTACATGTAGGTATTACTTGTAAGGCTCCATGTATGTCACTGACATGCCAAAATGCTGAAAAATCTAAAGACCTTGAAGTTAAAACTTGTTTCATGTCTTCTGATTGTCCAAGTACCTGTTCATGTCTACTTTCCATGGTTGAGAAAAATTGATGAAATACGTGTAAGTGTCTTTCATGCAGGTAAACTAAATGCAGAAACCTAACTGATGGTTCAACATGGGCAAAAGAAAGCCAGCCCTGGAGTTTGCTGATAGCTGTTCCCATAATAATGAGGATCTCAAGCCTACAAGGCGATCTCGTCGAATTGGAAATATGCACCCGAAGCAGACAGAGCCGAGCACAGTTATGGATGGTGACAGCGATGACGTAAGTGTATTTATTATTGTTATGGTGTTTAATTCAATCATCATTGCAGCCAGACAGGCTGAATTGCACATGATTTATCAAGGATAATATTAAATACAAGAAACAATATACAAAGATGTAAATTTTAAAAATAATAAAGACAAGTACAAAGAGAGAACCTCCGCTATAATTATTATCAGCCAAGATTGTCTAGGGCCGGATGGATTTAATTACGTGTGTTCAACAGCCTGGTAAAGAAAGGAATCAGGCTACTTTTAAATCGCTCAGTTTTACACATGACTTCCTTAAACAGGTTATGATTTCTTAAATTCCTAGATGTTGCATTATTTAATAGCAATCAGTGACATAACTGAGGCGATTTCGCAAGTGACTGAGCAAATTTTAAGCAAAGTCTAATCCTATCACAGAGTGTTTCAAGTTGTACAAGGCTTAGAGCAATTTCGTATGTTCGATACTGGATGCCTAAAATTGAACGTAACACCTGTTTCTGAACCCTTTCAATTTGGTGAGTTTGGCTTCGAGTAAGAGCTGGATGCCAAACGGGTGCAGCATACTCAAGAAGCGGCCGAATGTACATGTACCTTACTGTATGTATATTGTTATGAGATCACACCCAGGCAGGTTGAATGGGATCAGCTGACGTAACATATGCACTCTGATATTCGCTTTTTTAACAATTTGTTGGATGCGTTTTTCCCATTTAAGGTTAGACTGAATAAGAACACTCAGAACTCTCATGGAGTCAATTTGTTCTAATACCCGGTTGTCAGTAGTCGGATGGAGTAGCTGAAAAATAGTTATACCAAAATAAACTCTTAGAGCATGGCATTTGTTAATATTAAGACGCATATTGTTGTATTGTAGTTTTTTCCATGTGAATGGTTCTGCATGCATTTTTATCCCTGTAATTGTTGGTCATTCTGTTAATATGGTTCGTGTATACCGAAAGGATTTGTAGCTGTCTGATGTCCCTAATTGCAACAAAAACCTGATATCTGATACACGTATGACTTCTAATGTTAAGAATCAACATGATATGTTTGAGTTAATATGAACAATTGAGTCAAATGAATGGTGGCATTCATGCCTGTAGCCCTGGTTGATGAAATGGCCTTCTTTTATTTATCGTACACTGTACGTGGAAATGTTTTGGCCGGTAGGATTTTGTCACACTGCTTCCAAGCAAAACAGCGGCAACGACATCCGGTGACAACAGCTTGCTCCAGCGCAGTCAGAGGCATCAGCAGCGGACCGAACTCAAGCACCAACAAGAGCGACAGACCCTTCAAAGAAGTAAGTTGTTGACCTTTGCCCTTTAGCCGAGTCCTTTGCCCCTCCAATATACTCTTTTTCTGACTTTTCTGTGTTATTGTGGAAGTTAGGGCCAGCAATGTGAACATGTTCATCATGCATATGTTATACAGGCTAACGGGTCTGCTTTTCCTTGGTGCCCTTTCCAAATTTAATTTTTTTTTTTTTGAGGGCCAACACTTCGTCTGGTAATCAGAGTTTGCAAATGATCCAGGCCACGACTAAACCATCTGGCTGGAGCTAAGTGTAATCAATCTATTGGTAATGCTGTAATGGTTTCAGCCATCGTGGCCACAATGCATGGGCTGTAGTGGAGGCTTATTTTCTGGGCCTAATTTCATGGCATTGCTTACAGTGAGCAGAAAAGTCCTGCTTATTGTAGCAGAAAGTTTTTCTAACTGTGAGCACTATTTGATGGTGGTGGTTGGCATGGTGATGCTTTCAGTTGTGCGCACACAGAGATGGTTTGTTTTGTTTCATTGTTTTATCACAACGTTAAGCCAATTTTTCCTCCAAGGTAAGCATGCCTTTCGCCATACGTACTGCTTACAGTCTTCATGAAATACATGGACCCTCTGTCAGCATAAAATAACGTGCTTAGCAGCACTGTGAAATTTGACCCTGGACTTAGCCACGTCATTTGGAAACAACTTCATTGGTGCTACTTATATGTGTATCCCGTACAGCAATTTGGATTGTCAGTGAACCCTGCTTGTGTCAGTATAGTACAGTGTACATGGGCTATGGTTAGTCGTCTCTTTGGTCTGTCTGCCCATTCCATGTGCTGACGCCATAGGGCACACTTTGTGTCCCACATCCTTCAAGCAGTCCCTTCCTAAAAGAAGTCTGTCAAGGAGTAATCAAAGCACTATTTGAAATTTCGCTGTGCAGCTGGTCAGAAAAAAAATAAATAAACGAATATCCCAGTATTAGTACCCGAAGAAAATGCAAAGTACTTAAAGTATTGCTTATTTTCTGGCATGACTCTTGTTGAAAGGAATTGGCCTGCTGACAAGAGTCCAAAGATTAAACTTGGCTGTCTGCTCCGATCAGCAGAGTCCAGCAGAATTGTCTGCTGCCAGATGCTGTTATAACAAGCAGTAAATGTTTCGGCTGTTGAGCGTTTCAGGAAATACGTAGTGTTATCATTGGTAGGATTTGTTTGCAAAAGGGCAACAGTTCATGGACTGATTCTTTTAATGTTAGGTGCAGAAGAATTGAGACAACAGGAGGAAGATGATATAATGGTAAGAACACACGTGTGCATAATACGCTTAGGGTTTTAAATCGATTTTTGGGGGAGGGGGGTTGGTGATGTCTGCAATTCTTGATAAACGTGGAGTTAAAAGCCAACGGTTGAAGCTATCACAGCAGAATTTTAATAGGTTCTTACTAAGCATGAATGTTAGGCAGTGTTGAAGGATAGAAAATGGGAAGAAGATGTGAAGTGTTGGAATTAGTAGGAATGAAGGAAGGGCTAACAAACTAAACTGGGTGGTAGACATGAGTCTAGCCATATTTAAGCTGTAACTGAATCATTTTGAAACCGTAAAATAGTATTTCAAGGTTGAAATCTGTCTGGACATTTGTGTAAATGAAGTGGCTGTTTTTACGGAGCCCCTTTCCTCATTAAAGTTCACTGTTTAGTTGCTTGTTACCCTCGATGTTTTTCAGAGGGCCATTGAGCTTAGCAAACTTGAGATGGAGGCAGAGCAGTGGGGGTCTGAGTCCCAGGGTGACTGGCAAAGCGCATTTCCTCTGGAAACCCGAGAGCGAGAAGGCAACAGCCGATTACCACAAACCCCAAGCAAATCTGTTCCCAACCGATCCCAGGCAGCAGATGCTCCTTCTCAAGAGCACTTGTCGGAGCCGAGTTTCCAAAGCAGTTTTAAAAAGCACTTGCTGACTGCATGCAGAGGTTTAAAAGATTACTTCGGTATAAAGGTAAAAAATCGTTATTTAATGTACCGTGCCTTTTTAAGGTATGTGACTGGAATGTTCTTGCAGTGGCAGACCTACCGACTAGAACGATTTTGCCATATTTCATCTAGGAATTTGTTGAAATTATGGCCTTCTGTGTTTTTCCCCATAAAATATTTGACATTTTGATACACCCGGAAAAAGCAGATTGTGTGAGATAAAAACAGCTGGGAGTGCAGACTGCTCTAAGTAGTAATCTTGTCAGTGAGGACGTCCATGTAATCGATTTATGTGACGTCAGAGCCATGCATATACGTAATAGTTATGTCAAAGGATTATCAGTGTATGCCTGTTGCGTTTTAAGCTGTTGCATCAAGGCAAAATTTTCAACAGCATTTTCTGTTAAGTTTACTAGAATTCTGTTACATTACCTGAATTTCAGTGCTTTGTCAGAAAATCTGTTCTTATGGTGGTTCTGGCTGTAAAATGGATTTCTCAAGTAATCAGTTTGATGTGCAAAGTATTTACCCTATCTGGTGCTGGTTAAACTGATCCAAAGGTAGGAAACGTGGTATTGGTACTTTGACCATCCTGCATTATTCCAAATTAGAAGCTTAACATTGAAAAAGAGTTTTGTAGGGTCTCTTTCACACAAGGGGGGGATTAATCCCATGTCACTTAATTTATGGATAATTGAGCTGCAATCAGTCTGAATCATTTTAAAACGACTGTATTACACACCACCGTGAAACCACCAAGCAACAAAGTTGGAGCATTGCAGCCACATTAAACCAGAGCATGTCTATGAGATGCATATTTCTGAAATGTACAGTTTTTCAGTGAAAAATACCACTTTGGGATTTTCCGAATATGGTTTTGTGATCATTAAGTTGACAGTTCTGCAGTGGTCTTAAGGAACTTTAAGGCAAAACAGTCGGAAACTATCTTCTGTTTGTGTTCAAATGTGATGTACCAGTAGTGTGTGATCAGGACATTTAGAAAAGGGAGCATTTTTATTTTCAGTTTTTGAGAACATAAGGAAAATGCAATGTTTCAAACCATGAGAAATTATAAAGAACTGATGTACATGTGTAGGCACACGTGATGTGACATGACATGAAAAAATTGGATGCCATCTTCTGTCGCTTTTCAAATGTGATCTTCCAGTAGTTATGAAACTGGATGATTTATTTTTGACATTTTGACAATAGAAGGGAAACAGGGTATGATGAATCACAAGTTATAAAGAAAGACACACTTGTGTAAGCATATTGACTCTATTTTAAAAGTGTTCATGTGTGGATTATGTTTTGAAGTTAGGCATGTTTATTTGATTTTCAGCGGTTAAATGTATTGACAGTGGTTTATTTTTGTGTCGCTTACAGACCGATCCGACTGACTCTGCATCTTCCCCCTCATCAGTCTTGAGTGATGACTGTGAAGGGGAAACAACCCCGCTGAAAATGGTGCAGTCCAATACCAACGATTGCAATGAATGGCAGGATATGATGGACAGTGTAGACTGGGGCGATCCATCTCTGCCAACAGCGGTGGCAGGTAGTGAAAGAGGCACACCAGACATGAACAACGACTCTGTCAGGGTGAAAGAATAATTCTGTGAACATTTTGATATGTTGAAAACAAATGAGAATGCATTTCTTTAATTATAACTGTGACTAATTATAATAAACTGACATGTTGGAATTAAATCGCATAATTTTAGACCAAGACTAAATATTTTAGGATTAAGGAATGATTATATTCCTTTTTTTGTCATGGCTGTCTGATTTTAATTACATTAAACATCCTTTTTCTTTTTTCAGGGAGGTGGAAATGAAAGCCAAAAAGATGATAGTAGCCAACATCAAAATGACACCAACATGTAAGTGTTCCTTTGGATTCTTGCTGTTGAGACTTTCGAGCATGAACACCAACCGCTTTTCAAAAGTGGGGTGACATAACCTTGATCAGAACTACATGTAATATTTGTGCAAAGCTCAAGGCTCTAATGGCATAGGGTCCGGGGGCCACTTAGCGGCTCCCTGGAAAATTTTGGATTCTAGATGTTCTGAGGTGTCATCTGAGGCAATTTCTGATGTCTATTATTTCACCAAATGATTTTGCAAGATTTGTTTTCTTTTTTAAGTATTTTTATCTTTGCAAAGTTTATGTATGTTTAGAATCATTTTGTTTTGTCATTCCCAGTATTAACCCATAAAAATGATAAGAGGAAAGATTTAGCACATATAAACAGCAAATCTTATCTAATCAAATGTAGCCCTATTCCCCCTACATTTTATTTATTTAGGACCAGAAGAAAACAGGGGGGGTGGGCAGGGGGAGATGAACGGTAATTAAAGTGGGGGATATCATGTCGCATTCCCGATTGGCGCCCATGCTTTTGAGGAATCCAAGGTTGCAATCCAGAAATGAGTAAATAATGATTGTAATATCAGAAATGAAATTATTCAAACCGGAACTGACTGCACCTTCATTAAACTGACTTTCATGTACTTGTGATGGCATGCAGATGCACACGTACCTCAGATCGTTTACGGCTCCGCAAACGTCACATTTGCAAGGGAGATGAGCCTCAGCCAGAGCAACAGACCAAGGTGCGGAAGATGCAGACTCCCCCCGACCCAGGCTCCCTGGATCCGCTAGAGGAGTCTGGGGAGGAAGAAGAGGAGGTCAACGTGGTGAGCGACGAGGAGATCATGTCCGGCCAAGGTGGGCAGGAGAACCATGACTCAAGCCAGAGTAGACGACATCTTGAGGTCTATCAACTGGTTGATACCAGGTGAGGCTATTGCAGTCCATCCTTCATTAGCCCATGCAGATATATACATTCTGCATGGGCAGAACTCACAGTGTAATGCACCACCTAAAGGTTACAACATAGAGGTCTAATTCACAGTGCATTATGAGTCAATTGACAAATGTTTTTCCTTACGCATAAAAACTTGACTATTTGTTTCACACTTTAGTTAACATGAATTTTAAAGTTGGAACTGGTGTGTGTGTGTGAATAATTAGCAGTGTGAATTTAAAAGACTCCAAATGCATTTGTGTTTGTTCAGTATTTATACCTGCCAACTGTTCCGATTTAGGCGGAACCGTTCCGATTTTCGAGATTAAAAGTGCTCAAAAATTGGAACGTTCTGATTTTACAGGTTTCGAAAGAGGAAATAAAAAAAATTAAAAATATTCCAAAACAGCCGGCCCGCCCGTTGCGCACGTTGCACACTTCTTGTTCGTGAAAAATATTGTTTTTTGGTAGACTGGTTCCCATACCCTACATCTCTGAAGTAGGGGTGTGCATTTGTGGGTAATTTTAGAACTGGGTACCCTTTTTTTTTAACATTGGGTACCCGGGTACCCGGAAAGAGATCACTTAATAACAAATGGCATTGCGCACGACCCGGTGGACCATGTGCCTGAAACATGGTTCTTTTTGGTACATAGGAAGCAAGCATCACATTGTTCTAAACGTCAGAGTTAATCTGTCCTACCTTTTTTATCAAACAAAATTGTTACCTTCAGTTTGCAAATTTTTTTTGTGGGTGTGTGAAACAGAAAAACAAATCCTCACGGGGAACGTCAGAAAAGAAGACAGAGCTGCAAACCACCTACATGATATACGCACATGCAACCGCTCAAAGGAAATGTCCCGGATGCTGCATGACCACATACACGCGGACGCACATGGCGTGCACAAATGGTGAGCGCTAGTCGTGTCATCTGCGGACCAGATCAGTGCTATGTACTTCACGGATTAAAAGGCTTAAAGTTTTATGTACAAAAATACTACCGTAACTTGAACAATGCCCACACCATTATGTCCACTTATTTTGAAATTTCTGATTCAAAAAACCACCACCAAAATGCTTCAAACGGCGTTGAAAGTATTGGAAGTCTATATAGGGTAAGGAGTCATCGCGAGGACCAGTTGTATGCATGTTGCATAAATCAATGTAGCTGCAACTGTAATCCTGGCTTTCAAGACACTGAAACCAACCTGATTGCAACGCGGGCCCAATTGTAGTCCCCTTCAGGCAGTCCAATCGCTGACACTACAGCGGCCATATGACCGCAAAAGGAAAGGTCATGTGACCACACGTAGGGAAGCCCAAGTGAAAAAAATTGCAGTGCTTCACCTCGTTAAATGACTAAGCGATACGAAAGTTTTGCCTCATGAAGGTACCACGATGAAGTGGTTTAGTTTAATAAATACTTTTTCAGGATAACTGCATTCCCCTGAGGTTCAAATTGTTGAGATTTTAATGTATAAGTACTTCGACAAGTGACATTTGATTGGCCGACTGTATTATGACTTGCACCTGTCAACTTTTTCCTTTTTTTGAATGAAAGAATACTTAGATTTGAAATGCTTTTGTACATACAGAAAACATTTGTTTTGTTTTTTTTTCAATTCCTCATCCACAGTTCCGCTGAGTCACTGAGGAAACTCATGTTGCTTTAATTCAAAAATAATTTTGAAACGGTATATTTCTTGGTATAAAAAGCTAAACTAGTTCTCTGACTCTTTGGGTTTGCAGAGCACATTTAGTTATTGGTTATAAAAAGAGGGCGATCAACCGCACAATTTGTGCGTGATCACTACTTACCGCACACCGTGTGTAGTCCCAGTACCGCTAGAAGGTTACACAGTCCACTCTTGCTTCGTCGGCAATCCCAACATAAAGTAATTTTCATTCATATTGCTTTATTTGACAAAAGTACTCTTTAACTCAAACAGTAAGCACTACTAATTCCGCACAAAAGTCATTTAGGCCAACAGGGTTTGAAAGTTACAAATACAGTCATGCAAGTGTACATCAACAGCGCTTCCACCTCATAAGACAAAACTCCTTCGGTCTCTTGTTCATATAGGTTTGGTACAGTCAATTTCCTAGTTCCGGATCGCGAAAATTATTCAGTAAGACCATGAAAATGCTGCCTCTTCATGCATGATATTTTTGGTAACTTCTATTTATGTGGTTTCATCCTTACGATATTTCTGTTTACCATTCAACATTCTATATACCATAATCCAATAGAGGCCCTGTACACAGCAATTTTTGTATGATTCTTCAGGCTTAAGACTCATACAAATTGATGTTCATAGGGCCTCTTATGGAGGTTCAAAAGTGCCAAACGCAGGAGCTTCTGGGGGGCTGCACCCTGGACTCCACCAGGGTTCCTAAGGCGGGCGGGCCCCTGGACCCCACCCATTCAGTGCGAGCGTCTGCGACGCTCTCCGAATGCTATTGGAGGTGTTCCTCTTTCTGACTTTTCAGTGTTGGCAGGTATGAGTATTGCATGGAAAGGATGCAGAGTAGTTGATGTTTATACATAATAAAGGATGCCTAAAGTCATCTGCAAAGTTGGAAAGTGACACATTCATGGCAAACTCATGGTGGTGCACTGTATTCATTGTCTGCTTTTATCACATTTATTATTGATTTCTCTACATTCCTCTTGTGGGTTTATTGAGTTGAACCCATTTGATCTCTAAACTTCAAAGCAATCATTGTCTTCTGTTTATTTGTGCTGAACATTTGGCTTGCGGTTTCTTTAAAAGTTTCAAGGAGAAAGTATTACATGTAAGTGGGCCAATTCACCTGGTTATTGGGGTAGGGGCCATTATTTTTAGTATTAAAATTAACTGAAAAATTTACTGAACTTTCATCAATTTTACTTTTTCTTCTTGCCCCCCTTCCGTGCACTTCGTCAAATGTCATCCCAGAAAGGTGAGTAACCAAAGGTCATTTGCTTGCTCTGCCTGTACTTGTAAATACATGTTTGCTGTCACATTAATCTTATAGAGAAGCTAAGTTGCATCAATACATATGATAACTGCGACAGAGTCGCAGTTATCATGGAACTGTGTCGTTATGGCCATACATGTATCGTTCTGTCTATAGTAACCACCACATCACTGTTCGAGCAGGCCTGTCCTTGAATTTTCTTCCAGTAGGAAGTGCTTCGGGGATATTTGTGTATCCCAGAACACAAAAACTACATTGTTCCTTACCTCTAGTCAGATATCCTATAATTACATCCATTGAACTTTCATATTGTGGGATAAATTAACAAAAGCTAATATTTAAAACTAATTTTCTGTCAGTCATTATAAAACTCCCTTTTTTTTAATTGGGAGGATGTTTGGGTCCAGTATCAGCTCCAAATGGAATGCACACATTGTGGATGTGACATCTGTCAACTGTTTTGTACTGACTTGCTCATTTTGAAGCTGCATCTCTCCTGTGTTGTATATTTACTCCTATCCATTTTATGTCATGTTGAATTTAAATGACAGTGCCGATCTCTCGCTTACAGCCTAGATGGAGGAAGCACCCGTTTTATGCTCCTCGGAATGTCAGCAAGACCTCCTACTCCAGAGTCATCTACCAGCTGCTCCAGGCCTACTGCTGTCGACTGCGCCAAGCCCAGATGCGGATTCCGAATAGGATCAGCTGGGGCAACCCAGTTGTGACTGGTAACTGCTACAGCGACACACTGGTGCACCGTAAGCGGGGCAGCAGGGCTTGTGTCTTTTACGCTCCCAGTGACAGCGAGGATGAAGGTGGGCCATCGGTTCCAGGAAAAGCTGAAGGGCCTTTGAGGGGCAGACTGCAGAAATGGAGGAAAAAACAGGTCGCTGACACTGACGACAACGCTGACTCAGACTTTGAGGATTGTATCCCCCTAGGCCGTCGCAGGGCACAAGGGCGCTCAAAGTTGGCTACTCAGGACGTTGTTGAGATGCTGAAGCAGGATGGTCGCTGCTTTGAGGAGGACAGGGCCGATGAAACACTGTCACCAACATTGGAACAACAGCATATGGAAACCCAGGATTTTGCCACGATAGCTGGAGATGCTTCTAAGAGTGCTGGATCGGAGTCTGATTCTAGTCAGCCTATAGTACGACCATCTCCTTCACCCCTCAGTGTCCATAATCCTGATGACAGCAAAACTTCTCATGATCAAACAGATAGTCAGAGTAGCCTAACGGACGTCTTTCAAGCATCCTCCAGTAACGAAACTAGTAGTGGGACGAAGATGGCTGCAAGCAGCACAGGCCAAAATTCTGGAACTCCTCATAAGGGCCCGAGTACAAAGTCTAGTCTTGGTCGCAGGAAGGGCACTAACCAAGAGAGTGAGACTGGTAACGAGGAAGATAGCTTTGTTGAGGAGATACTTTCCTCATGTATCCCCAAAGCCACTTCACATTTTGGTGAAAATGGCCTGCAGAGAAATCATTCTGAAACCAAACGTGTGACCTGTCTCCCAGACAGCCAATCCTTAGACCGTTCTATGATCAGAAATACCATAGCATCTGCAGATAATGAAGAAATTCTGCATGGTCAGGAAGAAAGGGAGGATGTAACTAGTCTTAGAGAAACATCATCTCCCACGTTAGGTCCTCAGAACAGTGCCAGGACTCTGGGTTCATCATTCGAAGAGCAGAGATACCACTTTTATAAGTCAGTGCCTGCATTGCAGAGACTGAAGCAATTTCGTGGGGAAGTGAAGAGAGAAGAGTGTGTTTCAGATGCTGACAGTTCCTTGCAGGATGGCAGTGTCCAAAGCTTTGTGGAGCTTTCCAGGACTGACAGCTCAGCAAAATGTAGTCAGCAAAGTGAGAATGACTTACCTGTATCTCATAGCAAACTTGATATCAAACAAGGATTGAATAAGCAGCAAAGAGATGGTAATGGTTTAAAGGAAAGTGTGCTCAAGAGACAGCCATCTCCATGTAGTGACAGGCAGCAATCCTTGGCTAATAGCAGAAGTGCCTTGAAGCCACAGGAGGAATTGACAGATGGTCAAAGTCCCAAGGAAGACAGCTCAGAATGCCATAGTTGTGCTAAGAAGCTTGAACCAGATGAATCTTGGGATGATGTAGAAGATGGCCCAGCACAGCTTGAGGACGAAGATTACGGTGGAGAAAGCAACGACTATGATAAGAGTGAAAATCAGGACAGGGATGAGATGGCATGGAGACAAGAAGAGGAAGAAGACAGTGTCCAGAGCATCGACGAGGAGGATGGGACAGTGAGAGCTAATGTGGAGAAGGAGCAGGATGCAGGTTTGGATACAGAGATGAGTGAACACGCAGATGCTGGAGGGGATGAAATGTCCAATGACACACATCAGGGAGAAACAGAGGAAGATGATGATGTTGGATGCGAGGAAGAGGAGGACATCATTACAGTTGAAGACAGAGATGAGGATGCTGTTGAAGACACACGTCATTCCACAATGGTGAGTCCTCTAATGTTTAAGTCCCAGCAGAAGTAATGTATACTGTACATGTATGCAAACTGGGCATGCCGAGCATTACTTGAAAAAGTAATAGCGTTAGTTTGATTGCATGTTAAATTATTGTGTTTACATGTTTAGGCATTTTGAATACTTGTGCGCTGTTTGTGTGATGTGAAATAGTTGTGTGCAAACCTGAGTTGAAAACAAATCTTCTTTTAGATGTTCATGAATGAGTGGGTCTGTTTCACTCAGTTTGGTACTGAGAACAACACAATGGAAGGGTGCACTTCCAAAGAATTTGAAACCTTAAATGGGTGAAAATGAGAGTAGCACTGGCAGTCATCTACAAAACACCTAATTGTTCTGCAGGTGGATAGTGCGGATTAGTGCCATTCTCATTTCCACTTTGTGTTGCCCAGACACCAAACCAAGAATTACGAGGCCATAAGATGTGATTTGAATGAAGTAGTATGGTTTGATTAACCTGAACTTTGGGATCTAAACATTGTATGAGGAGAGTATTTAGAGGAAATATCCCTTGCGGAAAACTAATTTGTTTCTGTGAAAATAAAGGCAATTCAGAGGGGAAAAAACTAAGTATGTGGTAAAAGTATTGGGGAAATGTTTGTCAAATATTGCAGACTATTATCAGAGATAAGGATATTGGCCCAAGGGAGAACAGGAGGAACTAGATGGACCAACCTTACATGTATCGGCTCTTATTTTTGTGATTATCTTCTGTTGCTCCATAGGTTGGCGTGGAATGTCCCTTGTGCAGTGTTGACTATCCCATCGACCAAATTGAAGCCCACGCTTCTGCATGCTATGGACCCATATCGCCCACACAGGAAGGTACATTTTTTTTGTTCAGTGTCAGAGATCCTGTCCTCTTTTAATACTGAAAAAATGGCCTTTTTATTTGATGTTTCATTGTTTCATTGAAAGCCACCTCAGCATCTAATCCTTAACCAGTTAATGCTGAGATTTCCTTCCCCTCAAAAGCTGCTGGGGGAGGGTTATTTTTTTCTCAAATTATGTCTGGCACCCATAAAAATATGTAGGGTTGTACATGAACAACTTTTGAGTCAAGGCATCGGTAGTTTCATTCTTTTCCCCCTGAGTTCTTCTGTTCAGCTGTTTTTCAACTGCCTTGGTGAAAATTGTGGCATCTGTCCAGAAGTGAACCGGTTCACTTGCGAAAGGTCCGTAGCATACAGTATATAGGCGTCACCATGGCCATGTGTATTGTTCGCCAGTGGTTTTGATACAAAGGATTTAGTAGTTGGGATTTTGTATCCTCATCTCTTTTGTAAGTGTGGTATCGCTCCCAACAGTGGCACATCGGCTTACCCAAACAAGGTCTTTAAAGGTAGTGGACACCATTGTTTTTTGGTCATAATTTCACAAGATTTGCTGATTATAGTGTATTATATTCACAGCAACTTACATTCCACTCACTTGTTTTATGTTTGAGTCAACTGCTTTGTGAAAAATCGAGAAAAACAGCACGGCATTTTCAACCCTTAAATCGAAAGTCTTGTGTTTTATCTTGCGTACAATCTATGGATTATGAGTTCGTAGTACAAGCGAACAACATCCACAGGGTCAGGGTTGGAAATCGGCAAGACAGGTTCTCATTCCCTTAAAAAGGAGCAGTTTTCAACGGCTGTAGAAGTAATCAGTGAATTTACCTTGGAGTAATGCGCCGCCTCGACAATGTAGCAGTGCAGATTCATGAAAAAACTTCATCCAGGAACACAGCAGTCGATTCGTGTCCGTATTATCGAAACGAGTAGGCCTATATTATAATGTGCATGTGATTGTGCTTATGACCACACTTTCATGTCAGTTTACACGTCGATGAAAACTCCATTCTCAGTTGATTCATTAATAACTATAAGCCAAAAAGAATTATGTCTTCAGACAAGGGAGGTTTAACTTGTGGAAATCATACTTTGTGTAGACGAAAATCATCATGCTCGGAAACAGCTGCCATATTGAATTTAACCGATATGCCCTAGGGGTGATTTTGAATTTGCAAAGTTTTCCCGGTTAAAAAACCTTTCCTTTAATAAAATTTAACTTCACACTGATCCAATTTATTTTCTACTTTACGCCTAACACTTAGGTTTTTACAATCTCGGTTTACAGTGCTTTTGGTGAATGTATGTTGGTATGTTTTTAGCTGCTTTTACATTTAGATTTATCCGTTCATTACTGGAGACTCCCACAACATCTGCAAACACTACATATAAGAAAATTGGCGCTTGTTAAAGAATGTGATGTGCGAATGAGTGAATGCCTACTCACATCCTTGGTGAAACAAATTAGGAAAATTGTGTGTGTTTACATGTCATCCAGCGATGAGTTGTTAAAACTAAAAAGGGACCAATTTCTCACAATTTCATTCTAACAGAGGCTCTATACTTCATAAAGACCATAAGTATTAAGGAGTAAGGACAGCAAAAGGTACATTTAAACTGGAGGAGAAATTTGCTTAACGTAGTGACAAAACAGGGAAAATTTCTGTGCACGCTTAACCATAAGCACAACCACACCATGCACTGCCATGAAATAGTGCTTGCAGTTAGTGGACTTTACTGCTATAGTAAGCATGACTTTTCTGCTAACTACATGTATACAGCAGCGCCCTGAGAAGAGGCCCTGCTTGTGACATTTGATCTAAAAATCTTTGAAAATAGTAGAACCAGTTTTGGACAGAGCTTATGTGGTGGAAAAATGTCAACTGTACATTTTCACCATGTTTATGGTTTTCCAAGATTGCATTAGATTTGTTCCATCTTATCTGCTTCCCATTGGTGTTTACCACATCCATGGGAGAAACACACTAAGGAAAATGGACTAAATTCACTTTAAAGGATTTTTAAGAAACACCCAGTAACAGCTTACTGAGTTCGAAGAGTTGTAGGCTTTCATCTTTTACTCGTTCACCGTTACAGTGAGAGTTATCCCCATCAGTGCAGTAGTTATCACAACCATGTATGTAGTGGTGTTCAGAAAAATCCATGTTTTGTTTTGTTTTAATTATCAGGAATGCCAGTGTCGTTCATCTGTTGATAGGTGAAACATAAAATAAATGACAGAAGTAAAAGCGAGCACACATTGACAGTCGTGGCCAGTTTGTCAACATATATAAAGATTTAAAAATGGCAGTGATTAGTTCTCCCCATTTTATTCTGTTAGAAAGTTTTTATGAAAAGAACCGCTTCCACATTCATGTTTCTTAAGGGCAGTTGAGTGCTACTCTGTGACTTCAGTTTTTCATGTGCCATCTGCAAACAGGTTTCTGTTTCTTTTCATAGTTTTTAAGCATTGCATTGTAAAATCTCCATCAAGAAAAGTGGACACTTGCAAGCCAACCCTCTCCATTTTGGCTCGAGATAGTTGGGTAAAAAGAAAATTAGAATAAGATGTTTGTCCCACAATTTCCAATTGCAAGTTTCTCCAGGCTGTTAGCTGGCATGACTGATGCAGTAATGCTTCTGTTTAATACCACCAAACTATACATTTGTGTATTTGGTTTCCTTTGAATAACATTGACATTTGAAGTAGCCATGGTTACTGTACTTCATGACTCTCAGCAGGCTGGCATGTACATGTAGCTCATGTACACGTACATCATCATTACTTACGTCAGTAATGTTCTTGAACTGTTTTGTTGTGCAGCTTACAGTGTACATACATACATGTAAGTGCCAAAGATGTTACACACATACTGTTACAGTCAAACCTTGTTAAATAAGAGATGATATAAGATTCTTCTTATAACAAGGAAAATTTTAGGTCCCAGCCCTTCGTTTTTCATTGTTTTTATTCCTGGTTATACAAGCTTCCTGTTATAAAAAGGTAACTTGGTAAGTCTGAAGGACCTCTTATTTACGAATTTCAGCTGTACATATACATGTACAGACCTTGCATCCTCATTAATTCAGGTTAATTGCTCCTGTGTTCTTGACAATCGCTCTTTCATTCTCCCTCAAGACTAATCCTTGAATAAAAAAAAGTTTTCATGCACATGTAATTGTACTTATGACTTGTAGTGTGCACTTAAGATAAAATTACAGATATAAAATTTTGTTCTTTTTTTTTTCAATGTGGTAAAAATCTGGCAGTTTGTTGTCAGTAGTGTAATGGGAGTATGCATGTGGGAGGATAAGGGGAAAGGTGGAAATCAAAAATAAAAGAGGAGGAAAAAGGAAAAAAAACACCCCCAAAACAGGAGGGAAGTGAATTAAAATCAACAATTTGCTTGAAAATGCCTTGAGCCAAATGGACTCCCTGCCACCATTGCCGGTTTGTCAGTTTGATGATGATGAACCCCCCTTCAAAATTGTGGTAACACCTGTGGTACATGTATGTCAGAACTCTGCGTATGGTCAAGAATGTCAGATTGGGGGTTAGGGTGAATTGTCGTGGGAGTTAAATGTTGTAGTCACATGTAAAAAGTCTGTTCTACATGTATTTGAAGCATTCAATTAGAACCTTCATTCACACGCTGTACTTTCTGTACTTGTCTCACAGGAGAAAGAGTTGGAGGGCAGAAACCTGTTACAGACACAAGAGGAGCTTCGCCTACAAATAATGGTGGTGAAGGGTCAGCAGGACCGCCCAGAGCTGCGGGTCACAGGTCAGTACTTCCGTCTGTGATTGCCGTGAGTTTTTCTGTTCTATTGATGAAATACTGCTGGCAAGGAATTTGATCACTCAGTAATTTACAAAGAAGACAGAAGAGCAGGCCAAGTGCATATAAACTTGTGTTTGAACCAGTGGAGATGGAAGTAGACAGCTCAGTTGGTAGGTAGTGTAGTCCTGAAATTGACAGTTTAAATGCTGTTCACTTTTTTCATTGACAAAATGCATGCTTGGTAACTTGCGGTATTTGGCCAAAGAGAAAACTAGCTCAGCAAATTTGAAAGGGGAAAAAACGTGCAGTTTTGTAGATTTGGAAGAGGCTTGGTGAGAAGGCAAATCGGTCCCTGGAGCACATGTGGTTTGGAAGAACCCAAGCAATGGAGAAATGTGGCTTTCAGAATAAGGTCACTGCATGAATTTCATGGCTGTGGCTTGAAATGACACACGATTCTATGGCACTAGCTGCAACCACTTCTCATGGACTTGTGTAATTTCCAGGGGTGAGATTTGTCCAGATTTTTTCAGGATTTCCGAATTTGGGGGAAAACGTATTCAGGATTTATTGATTTTTCTATTTGGCATGGTGTTGCCAGAACTAGAAGTACATGTTGCTTTGATTGATCAAAATGGCTCTTTATTCCCTTTAAGTGGTTGATTGTGGTGAAAAAAGACTCGAAAAATCCATGAAAATTTTTGCGGCTCGAAAGTCCGACAGAAAACGAGGCAGCAAAGGGGAAGACAAATGTTATTGAAAATCAATTGGAAAAATCAACAAGCAAGGACAACGGAGGTACACACGGTGCGATAAATTGTTGAAATGGAGGATTGACAGACAGACTTGAGAGGTATATATTGTTTGGTATTCAGTTTCCTTAAGTCTCACTCCTGAATTTCAAGCTACATGTACAGCCAAGTCATTCAGACTTTGCTAAAGAAGCTGTTGTGCCTTCTGTGGTGGTACTACACTTGCACCCATGTGATAAATGTCAAATGTTGCTCTAAAGAATGGTGACTTGAGCCATGCATAGAAATGTGCACACCTTGAATTCAATAGCACATGTGTTGTGGGTACTGTAGATATCGGCCTCTCCTTGGGGTAGAGGTTTCTGGTCATTACTTGGTTGCCTCTCCCACAATGGCATAGTTTCAGGCTATTAAATCAGTAATTAACAAAATTTCTGAGACGTGTGGGTGGATAGAAACAAACTGTGCATCTGATGATGCCCAGGGATGATGATATGGAAACGTCTCCTGAAAGATCAAAGTAAATAATCCATGATTATCAGTAAATGAACTAAAATACATGTACTGTTATGCCACAGGAGTAGTTTTCCATGAAATTCTCAATTTAATGCCATCTTCTTGCACTTAATGGCTAGACTGAATGATGTAGTGTTGCTTGTGGAAAATCTAAGATAAAAAGCTATTATTCAGTCAAGCTAAAAGCAAATTTTAACGTTTAGTCAAATGTGCTATGTTGCACGAAACCAACGAATGTCATGTCAGTGCTCGTGTGTGCTAATGGCAATTTTCCAATAATGCATTTTTAGATGCATTGTTAGAAAGGTGCTTCTTTCACTGTTTTCCTCAATATGATAGCTTGCCAGAGAAAATAATTTCACTTGAAAATTTAGTCCCATATTTCATTTCTAAACAAAGTATGCTTTTCAACAATAATTACGTCAGTTACTTTTTGGGTAATTGCCAGTGCTGGACTGTACCTTTAATTGGGAATTTTGTATTTTGCAGGGACAAAACAGCAAATGAAAAAGCTAATTCAAGAATCGTGAAGGGAGTAGCTGCCAGAATTGTTCAGGAACGTAAGTGTGGACTTGATTTTGAGTTGGTCCCTGGCCAAGAAGTGCATGTTAGTGTAAATAGTGTTATGCGGCCATTTGGGCATTCATGAGGGTGAGTGAACAACATGCACATGAGATTACAGTGGCCTGTGCACACAAACGGTTGAATATGCTAGAGCTGTAAAGTCACAAGTCAAATCACGAGTCAGGAATCACGCTGAAGTAATTTGGGATGAACTGTGACAAAGTAGGGTCAAAGTGACAAAGTGGGGGGGCCAAGGGGGGCGCTTACCTCATTGCTGTTAAACATAAAATGGAAAACAAACAGAACAAAGAAGAGCAAAAGAAAAAATGAGGAAAGCAGAGAAAAATAACCACTTTACAAAAAAAATACTTTTTGACTCCCAGCCTGTGTTAATGGTTTGTCAGTTTGCTGCTGATAAGTGCTTTATGTCACCCCCTTCCCCCCAAAATCATATGCACAGCAAGTAAAACCTTTACGGTAGCGTCAATGACAAAAATGTGTAAATTAAGTAATGATTGGTTGTATATGTCTAAATGAAATGGCTTTAAAATTGAAAGGTTGTCAAATAACCACCAGTCAAATTCAGTGTTCCTCATGTTACGTGTCTAATGTAGACAGTCCTTTGTTTTTGTGCAGACCAAGAGTAACTTGAGAACAGAAAAACTCATTCTTGCAGTGTAAACACTCTTCGAACAAGTTTGTGATCATGATTTCATTTTATGCCTGGTAGCCCTGACCTAACAAACTTCTTTTAAAGCTGTTTCAGCAGGGGAAATCTTTTGTCAACCTCTGCAAGTCCACACAGTGACTACAACTGTACTGTGTAGACCTCATTGGGTATAGGTCCACACAATAACACGCCCATTCACTTTTTCAAACACCTTGCCATACACTAACTTGCCATCTTCAAAACTTCTAAGTACTGTAATTTTAAATTCAACCATTCCTTTGGTCAATAGTCTTCTCGTGTATCTATATGTACTCTAACTTGTGTGGGTCTGTGTTTTGTTCCTGTAGATGACCCAAAGGGGACTATTCACCACACTCAGGACTCTTTAATGAAGAGGTAGGTTTGATTCAGGTCTTATATTTGCAGTTCTTGGTAAAGGAGAACAGCTTTGCCATATGTGTTTTGGCCCATAAATCCCCTTGCAGCTCAGATCCACTTTAAACTGAACCCATGCGTGCCTTTTTTTTGGCGGGCACAAAAATTGATAATTGTTTTCTTGAAAATGATGCATGGAACACAAATCTATTTGTTACATACACATTTTCATATTATTATATGTTGACTTGCTGACTCTTTAAGTGCTGAAATATTTTAACGTTTTGCCTACGACCAGGCAAAGTGAGTTAAGAGTTATATATGTCCATGACTACATGTACATGTATGTGTGTTTGTTTGTGGTCAGACTAGTTCCTATACTACATGACTGCCTTACTGATGCTGAATCTTTGTTGCAGCCGACGCAATAATAATCCTGACTTTTGTTTGGATGTACACCAAATACTAAATATAATGCAGACTTTGATAGCTTTCAACCGTCCCTCTCCAGCATTCTACACAAATTAATAGTTCTTGTGAAGGGATTTCTCGGTCCAATTAACCACAGGAGGGCTATTGTGAAACTCTGAAAATACATCTACATGTAGTTTGTTTTTTACTTTTCTTTGGAGGGTTAGTTTGTTAGTTTTATTTGTCGTAAAAAAGCATTTGCTGACATGATGCTGGTTTTCCTGTACACGAATGTGAATTTATTGTGATAGCCACTTGCATGATGATAGCACTGTTGCGATAAAAATATATTTTTTAATGATGCATTACCAGTGCTCTGAAAAAATTAAATCGTAACAAATTCTTAAATATATATGGAATTAATTTTCAAGCTAACCAGACACGCATTACTTTGCTCATTCGGTCGAAATGTTGCTTTACTAAGTTGAAAGCTTTAGATCATTTGTATATGAAACTTAATCAATGCTTTACTTACCTGTTGGGCTGTTGTAGTACTTGATATGGGTTTCCAAAATGTTCAAATTCCAGTGGTAGAAGTAAAAGAGTTGATTGTGTGAAACGTCCCATTTTTAATTCCATGCCCAGGTCAGACCCAGACCTGGATCTTGATGACGACAGCAGTGAGAGCTTCTCAGAGTCAGCAGACCAACTGGACGCCAGCCTCCTGCAGTTGGTCGAGGACAACAAGCTCCAGCTTCGCGAGAGGAAGAGAGTTAGGGTACCAGATCGGCCGGCAAAACGGCCAAAACTGGACACTGCAGGGAAGAGGTGCTTGCGACAAGCTGAATGCCTAGTGCATGAGAGATAAAATATAGTAAAGGGGGCCAGTCATGTTAAGTGTTTCCATTGTGGTTTCTGCAAGTGATTTACCACCTGGAAACATTTTCAGTGCAGTTGATCTTTTTAAGTTCTTACAGTCATTTGCAAAAGTTTAGGACCACTTGGAATTTTGCTGATATTTCTGTCACTGGGTCTGCATTGAAAATAAACATAAGTTGCCATAATTGATTGGTTTAATTTCTTTTCAGGTTAATGCATTTTGTATGGGTGGTCCTAAACTTTTGCAAATGACTTTACAAAGTTGTTTTTTCCATTTTGCTGTAAAAGTGTACAAAATTGACTCAACAAAATGTGTCTGCCATCATTTTCAGACATGCAACTTTTCCTCTGATCAGCTGATTCCCTTGATTTTCACTTCATCTCACCCATGGCTTTGAAAATTTAAAAATACTGTATAAATTGAATAAATAAATTAGTGAATATTGGAATTTCCTTGTTTCTTGTCAAAATCCAAGTTGCATGCCTGCATTTTTGACATTAAGATAGACAGTGATATTTCAAACCTGATGCACATGAAGAACAAATCTGCACTGCCAAAACTGAAATCTTTACTGGCCCTTTTTACTATTTGTATATATTTGTATATGATGAGAAGCCATTGTGTATGGTTATCTAAGGGCCTGTTTGTTTCCCATGGATCTGGATCTCAATCAGTAGTCGCAACACCGGTTCCCTCCATCCATTAGGCAGATTTTGATGTCAGTGAACCAGTGATGGATCACTAATTGAGATCTTGAGCCCCAAAACAAACAGGCCCTGAGTGTGTCTCCAAACCCTAGTTGTGTTCTGATTGGCATTTGTTATGATTCTTCACATGTGCACAAGAATCAATGCATCTTTCAAGCATTTTATGATTACTTGAAGCTCTTCATTCCTCCAGAATCCTTTTAAATATTTCTCTTTGCTGCACTAGGAAAGTGGTTAGCGCCCATCGTACTGTAAGGCCAATTCGTGTATGAACTGACCTTAATGCTGGGGCCAATTTCATAGAGCTGCTTAAGCACAAAATTTGCTTAAGCGTGAGAAAACCTTGCTTGATAAATCAGGTAACCAGCCAAAACTCCATGTGATGTATATTGTTTTGGGATTGTATTTAGTTGTTTTTTGGTTAGCATGACAAACGGATAGAGTTTTAGCTGGTAACCTGTGTTTTACTAAGCAAAGTATTTTCCCGCTGAAGCAAATTTTGTGCTTAAGCAGCTCTATGAAATTGGCCCCAGAAGTACATTGTATTCAGTTTTGGGCTCCATTTTTATTCAACCTACTTGGCAAAAGTCATTGATACCAGCTTTGGGTCATTGCCTAGAAAAAGTGTGAACTGCATGTGTGGGCTGTGAGGACATCAGTCTCAATTCCAGGTGTCAAGGATTATTTGGTCACTGTAGTAGAGCACTGTTCCACGTGTTTTGGGACTCGCTACGCTATTAACCAGCACGCTGGCCATATTAAAAAGAGGGTGCATTCTGCATGATCCGACATCAAGCAATGGGGTCTTGAGCAAAGACTAAATGATTGACAAAGCCATGAAATCTTACAGAGGGCACAGAAAAGGTATAAATCGTCTAAGATTTTGCTCCAGGTGTAGATTGGCCAATTTTGATGTCTGGAATGCCCCACATTCTCGTGGACCAATCAAGGTTCTGATTTCGGAGCCAAATCGCTAAGCTACAGTACTACCATGACAACAGTATTATACTGGGTGTCTGTGCATGGCTTTTGATTTTTTCCCCAGATTTCTTTAAAGGATTTAACCTTTATTTATGATCCATTTATGGCAAAATGTAAATAATGTGGACCCTTCAAAGGAGCGCAAAAAAGGTTAAGGGCAACTATAAAGGTTGGGGGATGGGCCTACAGAGGAAAAAACAGCAAAAGACGTGCTGTATGACCAGCGTGAACATTTTAAGAAGTCAGTGAGACCGTGACAGTCGTTACCAAGACCAGACAGTTTGCAAGATCAGAGAAAGCCAGCGGTGTCAAGATTCAGTTCATGAAAGGAGAGTCGGCGATTTATTGGGCTTAACACTGTAACTTCTTTGCCTTTGAGTTTCTCTTGAGCAGCCCGTATCAAGTACAATTCTAGGAGAAAACACAAATGTTCTTCTTTCACCTCGGAGAAGACATTGTCTATAACAATTACTATTTTATTATAATTTATAGCTTCATTTTTTTTTCATTGTATCGGCCTTTTTGATATATCAATGTCATTGTTTAAAGTGATATAATTTATATCAATATCAAAGCAAAATCAGATATTATCAATATATCGATGGACCTCAATATACAACTACATCAAAGGCTGCTAAGTATGCAGTCAGTTACTGTGAAATTGAAGTGGCTTTGTGTGGGCTTCTTTTCCAGTAGAGATGAGACCAGCAGGAGTAAGGAAGAGACAGAAGTGTGCTTCATCTGTAATCAGCAAATTCCCAAGACGGTCTATGCTGAGCATGTGCAGGAGGAGATTGACCGTGTTGAGGCAGAGAACCATACAGAAGACTCGGCAGTCCCACTTGGACGTGCCCTGCGGCGCAGGACGATAGCCTCATCTAGAGCGGCTGCTGGTGGAGAGTCTAGCCGGGAGGCCGAGTAATGATTGCCTACATCTATCTTGCTTGTATGAAGTGATTGCAGTGTCTTATAGTTCTCTTAACCTGAACAGTCCTCAATCCTTCACCTGTTGGAGGATTGAGGACTGTTAGGGTTAAAGATCGTCTGCTCTGCAGCGTGAGATGGATAAATCTTCTTTGGTTCAGATGTAGGACTGTTTTAGGGACTAGTCGTGTCCTTCCTGGCTTTGGAGGTTATTTTTGCACAATATTTTGGATAAGGTCTTGCAGTTATTCTTACAGCCGTCTTGTAGGCCAGTGCTTTTGTTCCATGGGTTATGCACAAAGGAGGTGTCCCTGTGGAACAAAAGAATTGCCCTGCAAGATGGCTGTGACCCGAAGCCTCTGTTAACACCATGGGTGTAAGAAAAAATTATGTGTCTCGAGATCAGAGATGTCATGTAAATATTGACTGCTTAAAGTGGTATAACTAGCCTCAAAGCGATCCTCTGTATGTTATATCGTGGAGGAAGGACACAGAAGGAGTTTGAACTGCCTGGGCTATAACATCTGGCCAATTACCGCTCTCTGGCATGCCTGGTGTGTCCATAGCCAGAGCGCAGCGAGCACTTGCTACGCACCATCTGTTTCACAACCATAAGCCCCCTTTGTGCCCCATGATCATGGCCATAATTTTCTGCTGATAATCCGCATCCTTAAAATGTTATGTACTGCAACATTATCAAATGATCTGACGACATCATCAAATTTAATGCTTGAGCAGTTGCTTGTATTAGGCTGTGTACCTGAAGTGTTCATGTGCAGTTATTGCCCTTATCAATTGCTTTCTTCTGGACTTATTTTGGGAATAATAGCCAAGTTGTTTTTAAGATTTTGTGTTTTATTTAAATCATTTTTATCATGGAATTTACCCAAAAAGGTATTTTAAGAGATCTCATGATCACTGTATGTGATGAAGCAGCACATTTTATTTTTCGTGAGCTTAACTGTCCTGCAGTGATCAACATGTTGTTGGCCAGTCTTAGCCAAATTCGTACATTTAAAAACATGTTTTGGAGTGAGAAAATAAAATTACAAACATTGCATGGATAATGGAAAAGTGCATCAAAATTTAAAAAACAAATTGTTCAAGTCAGCAAAAGTAAATCTTGTATTAGATAATTTTTCTTTTTATTTCCAGGTCACCGTGATAAGTTGTAGTTAATTGGAAAGAAAACACCACAGATTTTGCTATGATATTAGTGGCCCCACTTGTCCGGCTAAGCTGCAGGCAGTAATCAGGTATTTGGGGAATGTTTACTATTGTTCGTCTGACCGGGCAGCGATGATCATCGAGCACTAACC